TGTACAATACACTAATAATGTGTTGTTGTACGATGTGTATTTGTTTAAGTGGATGAAGGTCATTCTGACCCTGGATTGTTCTTGGAAATTGTTGGTGTATGATTCTTGTTGACAGAGTTTTCATCCCGCCTTTTTCGGACTACTGTACTTCATTCTGAGTGGTCGTTTTGTACTTAGACTAGACTGTATAGCCGGCTAACGGCACTGTTGATGCAATTTTGACTTTTTGATTTTAGTAGATTGAAAATCCCCATTGAGTCATATGAAAAAGAGAAGACATTCAGCGAAGAGACTCTTTTCGGCGAATTCATTCACATAGTTGTACAATCGCATTTATATATAAATATTTGTGTGTGTGTGTGTGTGTACATGAGGTTTGTCAATTTTAGATAATTGATTAGTTAATACAAGAATGATGTAGTATAGAGACAAAGTTAATCAGACAGCAACTAAAGTAAGACTGAGTTAAAAAACTAGATGACGTAATATAATTGGCTAAAATGTTACAACTTAGGTCAGGATAGCAACAGAGGTAATTACAGGTAGAGATTAAGTAGAAGTGAAATTGAGTGAATAAGTTGGATGACGTAACATGAATGACTAGAAACTGAGCGTTGTTCAAGTCAGTAACAGTGGTAGTGGGGTGTAGAGATTGAATCGGGTGGGGGTAGAGAACAAGAAAGTTGAAAATGTAAAATGTTACAATTGAGAAGAAAAAATAATACTAATGAAGAGACAGAAGAAAAGATTAGGTAGAATTTACTTGTCGGCTAATAAGATAGATTACGTCCATTGCAAGTGTAGTGATTGAACGAACTTCTTCTGTATGCAGAGTTCAGGACTTAGCAAGTGAATCGCCATTGCTTCTGCAGTTTGAAGAAGTCTGATTCGTACACCTTTAGGGAGACTACTTCTTACTCTGTAGACGACTTTGAAATTTGTTTGCGGTGTAGCTTGGTGTCCGGATTCTATCAGATGTTCTAAGATGGAACTGCGGGGGCATCGATTTTCTCCTTTGTAAAACCATGCTGGTAAGTGCTCGGTGATACGTTTGGAAAGCGAGCGCTGGGTACGGCCGACATACCTGGCTCCACACGAGCAGGTGAATTGATAAATGCACATTGATGAGGCCAGCAGCGGTAGCTTATCCTTCACGTTCACATGAATCATAGGTTTTGTGGAGAAGGTTAGTCGTAGTTCAGCTGCGAAGAAGGTCTTCTTAAGTGAGTGCGACAGTCGATTTTTTAGTGTTTCCGCAGATAGATCTCCATTGAATTGGAGGTTCATGTAGAGTAGTTTTTTCTTGACGCTAAGTATGGGCGGCTTTTCTGGTCTAGGATTCATAGATTTTGCAATAAATCTTTCTGGATAGCAATTCTCGACGAGGATTCTCTTGAGGTTGTCCAGTTCATCTTCTATGGTGTCCGGGGTGCAAATTCTGCGAACTATGTAGCTGAGTGAACGGATCAGGTTTCGTTTGGTGTATAGTGGTACCCAACTGTGAAAGTTAGTAAGCTGTCCGTTCCACGTCGATTTTCTGTGGATAGATCTTCTCAGTGTTCCATCCTGTTCTCTTAGGGTTAGTTGGACGTCAAGAAAAGATATTGTGGAGTTGGACTCTTTCTCCATCGTGAACTGAATTGCAGGGTGGCAGTTGTTTGCCAATTATATTACGTCATCTAGTTTTTTAACTCAATCTTACTTTAGTTGCTGTCTGATTAACTTTGTCTCTATACTACATCATTCTTGTATTAACTAATCAATTATCTAAAATTGACAAACCTCATGTACACACACACACACACACAAATATTTATATATAAATGCGATTGTACAACTATGTGAATGAATTCGCCGAAAAGAGTCTCTTCGCTGAATGTCTTCTCTTTTTGATTTTAGTATTGTTTATTAGGACAACAAATTTTTTTGAAGAATAATCACTTTTTCCTGTCTTTGAAGTGTCTCATGACTGCGTGTGTCTCAAGGATGTTTTGTCAGGTATACGGTAGAACACAGAGATCGGTTTCTCGAACTCAGACAACATCAAGTCGGGTTTGGTCGTAAGAGTTAACTGATAAAGTTTCAGTGTACAACTTTGCCCGAATGTGCACCAGTTCAGGTTACCACATTTCATTAGTACACAAACGTAGAGGGAAAAAAGTAAAAGAACTACAACGAACGGAAATGTGCAAGAAGAGGAGCTGCACATGGAATATAATGACAGTTTGATGGATGTAGAAGAGATGACGGAGTCAGTGGAAACATTAGCACCACTAAGAATGACTTTAGGCCATGTCACCGACAGTTTAAGCTCCCCACCCAACGTAGCCAAAGTCAGAAGTCGAAAACTTCACTGATTTACCTAAGGTTTTAATGTGACCACTCTTAACACTTCTTCAAATTAATGAAAAGTCAGTTAATATTGATCGATCAGGTAGGCAAAGGCTTGGTATGTGTAGCATATGTCCTAGCCATCTCAATCAATCAAGTAAAATAGTAATCTGTAGTATATCAGATGATGTAATGCTGTTTGTCCTTAGGCACAAACTAGTCCCCCATAATATTTTTACATCGTCTTCGAGAAACCCAATCAAAAATGTGTGCGAGTAATAATAATAATTAAATGGCTAAAACAATAAAAATTAGAGAAAATACAACGCATTGCATTAGACGGAAAGTCAGGTAGCCCAGTGATTTAAGCAGGTCACAATCACTATTCGCAACATAGACTGGTGTATGTCGAACTAACTTTTGTTATACGACTGCGAATTTCATGCCACACACCCCACTGGTACTTACACAACAATAATAACATTTTTATTCTGGACAGTATTTATAAAATGGACAGAATTTCCAGAGGAGTTTATTGCATGATATTTTCTCTTTGTACAATATTTTTAATTAAAATATGAATTGACAGTATATCCTGTGAAACAACGGTCTCTGAGCTAATGCACAAAGCATACCATTTTGATTTATCTGCTTTGTTTCCCTGATGAAACCCACGATATCTGATGAAAATCAATTGTAAGACGTTCAGAAGTACATTTTGAGACCCAAGGACATAACTCAAGAACAGTCATTTCATGCATTGGGATACGTTGCCACTCACAATAAAGCCATTTCTTGAATTTAGTAGGAACTTTCCAATCAGAAGCTTGTAAACACTTTAAATACCCGCAAGAGTAGATAGTACAATCAGAGGCCATATCTCAATGGATTATCATAAACCGAAGAAGAGAAAATATATGTAATAGAGATATGGTAGTTTTTGGCAGCCCAAGTTTTAGACAGGCCGCCAATCAAGCTTAATATATAACGAGCTGGATCTATTGACATTCCGTGTACTGCGTAAATGACATCGGATGACTGGAGGTGGATAGTTTTTTTTTTCAAAAAAACAAAGCGGTCACATGTTCACAGTGACGAGAAGGTGAATGCGACAGTGCGTAATTCAAGTCACCTTAAGTTACTACAATTCAAGATAACATTTTTAATTAAACAAGTCGTTTACTTATATATTGTGAGTAGTATAAATGAAATGTATAAAAATTAGTTTCAATTTTGATCACGAAGCACTCAAATTCAGGGGGTACTGGAAAACTTTTTCGTCCCAGTTTCGGACTTGTCATCGCATCGAGGATAGAATCCAGGACCTTCAGGTTATAACGCAAGTTCGTCAACCACCAAACAATGAGCGAAAGATAATGCTCCATCAATCTCACTTTCTTCTTGTCGGGTCACCAAGAATGTTTCCAACAGCCTGTTGCAGACCTTTATCAACAACTGTCTTCGTTCTATACTCAAGATCAGATGGCCGGAAAGAATCACCAACAAGAGACTATGGGAACAAACAAAACAAGAACCAATCGCTCAACAAATATGCAGGAGAAAGTGGAGATGGATTGGACACTCGCTGAGGAGGTCGCTGGGTGACATCGGGCGTCATGCCCTTGAGCGGAACCCGAAAGGGAAGCGGCGAGTGGGACGTCCAAGGGTGACATGGAGGAGATCGTGTGAAGAGGAGTTGGAACAGTATGGACTAACATGGATGAAAGTGAAAAGTATAGCAGAAGACAGAAGCAAGTGGAGACATGCAGTTGAAGCCCTATGTTCCACTAGGAACCCAAAGGAACAATAAAAATAATAATAATACTTTCTGCTAATTTGCCATAAATAAAGCGACAACCAGTCAGTGTCATCGGTGAATATCTGTACCAAAACCCAACTTAGTGGAACCTACTGGACACAACTATCTACTAGAACTTCATCCTGTAGTCGGTTACTGATGAGCATCAAAATATTAGTTCTCCAGTGTTGGTTTCCAGGATTTCAACTGATTACTTTCAAGTTTAAGAGACACATTTTAAACCACGGAAAATTGGACAATTGTCTCAGTCTAGTCTAGAACTCTTCATCGGCAGTTCTCACCAAGGACATTCAAGTTTTTAAAAAAAATTGAATTCATGAGTGTCAATGCAAGTGGATTTCTGCATTCACCCATCACATATATTTATACAAATACAATGTTGTATTTTTTTTATAAGGATTACCACACAGAGAATAAGCAATCTCACGGAAGTGACAATACAGCATCGTAAGTAAGTAAGTAAGAGAAATATTACAGTGACAACGTCCTTTTCTCATTGTCAGTAACCAAACTGACAAATTTTGGAGAACGAAGCTCCAACTGTCTGTACTGGTTATTATAATTATAATTATTATTATTACAGAAAATAGAAATCAGATGGAAATATATGGATAAGAAAAAAAAAGGTTCAATCATCACAGAAGTGAAGAGGTTGGAACAAGTTTATGAAGAAGGGCAGAGTATTGTGTGCTCACCTGCACATTTTTTTTAAATTACAGGAATGATGAATATGATGATCAGCCTCCTTAAGGAACATTTTTCCAAGGGAAACTCAGATGAGAGAGGTGTGTATTTACATTGAGAAGAGAAGCAAAATGTGATATGACTATGGGCTTAATGATGCATGTGAAAAAGCGACAAAATAAAGTGGGGATAAAAAGAAGAAAAAAAACACAACTCATGATGATGAAAGACTTTTCACAAAATCAAAGAAGCAATGAAAAGGAATATCAATCACCTTAATGGCTGGCTGTTAGCCTATTTTCAAAAATATGTTTACATTTACAGGTGCAGCATTGTCTTTCAAAAATATTATCCGACAAACTTGTAATACTAGGGAATTGCAGATAATTCGTGCAGTTGATTTTGTATTTGTAAACTCGATTCAAGGCAATCCTTACGAATTTGTTTGGAAATTGATTCAACCTGTTTCATCAGAGAATTGAGTAAATATATATTAAAAATAGTAAAAATATAATTTTCTTTTTAAAAATAGTCGATAAGAGCAATATATCATGAAAATTTCTATATAATATATTAGAGAAAAATCGTTAAATCATTTGCGAAATCCACAGTTCCAAGGCAAAAAGCACCATAATGTCCATTTAGAAACGCAATATTTGATCTACCTAACATTATGAATAGAAATGAGTAAACCAAGCAATGTGACAGATATCTGCTGATGGTTGATATGAGCTGTTGGGAACTTTTCACACCAACCAGTAGTGACTAGCAGTCAGACCGAAGGACCAGGCGATTGCTTAAGTGATTTGGAGCTAAGCTCGTCAGAGACGTGGTTATCTGTGAAAGCTAAGTCAGTTTTAAACAGTAAGAATCCTGGTTAGCTCTATTTGGTAAATTGGCAATATATAAGATCACCAAAGCACAACTGATTATCATGTTTAGTTATTAATTTCCTTAGAATACAATAGAAACAATGGGTGTTAATTTAACAAACATATTTTAACGAAATTTTTTTCTGATCTCACTTGGAGATGTGGTTCCTTTTGTTTCAGAACTTCACTTACAGCCAGAAGGCCCCAGGTTCGGCTCTTGATCCATCTGAAACAGTTTGGCCATCTGGTTAGTATCATTAGCCTTCACTTATTTATTAATATTATTTGTTATTCTCTTCAGTTCCGAGTGGGACACAGGGCTTCAGCAGCAACTCACCACTTTCTTCTCTTTCATGCTGTCCTCTTCAGTTGGGTTCACGATTGACAGTGATCTCTCATCTCCTCTGCGCTACACTAGCTCCTTCATGTCAACCTAGAACCGATAACCTACTCGTCACTTCCCATTGGGATTCCACTCGAGCGATGGCCTGCACTGAGCGCGACCTCTTCATACTATGCCCCAACCATCTCCATTTCCTCTTACACAATGTTTTTTTCTGGCCATTTTATCTTCAGCATGGAGCGAAGGAAGCTGTTGATGAAGGTCTGAAACCTGTTGGAAATCCTTTTCGTCACACGCTAAGTTTCTGACCCGTATAGAAGGATTGATTTGACATTGGTGTTGAAAGTGTGAGTCTTGTTCTTTATGCTGGCTAACTGCAGATTTCCAAACTGGTTTCAGTTTGATGATGGCGTATCTTGCTTTTCCGATTCTGGCTAGCTTTGAGATCTTCATCCGTTTCGACTACCTGTGGTTCAAATGATGCTTCCTCAGTAAATGAAGGAAGTAACCTCTGTGACACCTCTACCGTTGATGGTGATTGGTGCTTGTTCATTGTTGTTGATGGTTAAGTGGTTATCGTCATTACCTCCGTGTTCTCTGTGTTCACCTGCAGTCCTGTCTTCGCTACTAGCCTCTTCAGCCCGTTTGTTGGATTTCGCCTGTTTGCGTGACAATAAACATAAATCATCTGCGAAATCCAGATCTTCTAGGGTGTTCTTACCAGTCCTGACTTCTCGTTCCCGACGCACAGTCTGACGCATAATCCAGTCCACCACAATTAAGAATATCATCGGTGATAATAGGCAGTCAGTTTCTGTTACTCCTGTATTCACTTCCAACGCCTCACTGAGTTTCTCGTTGTGGATCACCTGACTAACACGTGACACTGTCATGTAGCCATATGTTGAATGAGGTTGATAAAGAATTAGGCACTGCACGGTCAACGCTGTCTGGTGAAGATCCTTTCGAAGTCGATGAAGTTAAGGTACAGGTTTCACTGCCATTCTATGCTTTGTTCTATGATTACAATGCATAGTGTTGCACTTAAATCAGCACATGATTTGCCTTTCCTGAATCCAGCTTGTTTTGGTCGGTATGGTGGATTACTGCATTCAGCACATCTTTTATTCTCTCCAGGATGATTCGACTAAGTAGTTTACTTGACGTCGACAAGAGCATTATTCCACGCCAGTTCTTGCAGAGGCCTACAACAATTGTGTAGCTCATATTATAATGCATCAAAAGATCATTTCCAGATTAACTATCTGTTATCTATATATTTCTTCTATAGCGAATATTCTATACACAATGAACACTAGTTTGAAGCCCTATGTTCCACTGGGGAATGTGAAGGAAGAAAAAAAAAGCCTTCAGCGTTGTAGAATAGAATTTAATGAAGCGACTGACTTTCAATGTCATCTTAAGTTTTATTAGACAGAAAGAAAATAGTGAATTTAATAAGATACTTACAATTGTATGAAACATTAGTGCATCTTCATTATCACATTCATATTCTTCAATTGTATCTAAATCTTCTAAAAATCGTAGTGTAAGTGAATCATAATTCTCTCGAACAATTTCTAAAACCTTAGAAGACAATTAAAAAAAAAAAATAGATAAATGGATATTTTATACACGAATTTCATAGGGGTTAACAGATAAAAAAATGTTGAAACAACCTCAATCCTACTGTAAAGAGGAAAAGACCGATGAGACTCGAAAGTAATGTTTTTATTAGGGGCAAACGCATTGTAGGTACATAAATTTGGTTTTTAAGTCTTTATTTGCACATCATTCGCAAATTGGTCGCATATTCGATAGCTTGTTGGATTCTGCAGTGTGTTTCTAACATTCTTCTCAAGGTTCTCACAGTTCTTCGATTGCTTCTTTTCCAGTGCCCAAAACATATTGATACTTTTATGAATTTGTTTACTGATATACTACTTATATCTGATTATAAGTAGCATTCACCACACTGCTTCTTTCTTTCTTTCTCACTTTCAACACAGTTCAACCCTTCCCTACTATTCCATTATGGGTAAATTTTGTTTTATTAAAGTCTCACAGTGTTATACAGTAATGTTTACTGATGACGTTTCAAGCACAATTTATTGCTTATAATCATATCAAGGTAATCACACGACTTCCTAAATTCATTTATATAGTTCCATTGTTTTTCACTTGATTTGATTGGTGGTAATATTTTCCATATTTCGGGAATGAGTGACGATTCATTCCTATTGCATGTGTTGTGTGTAGATTCGATGAACAAGGATCCAGTAATCAACCTCTCTCTCCACCTACCTAGATTACTTCTTAGAATTTTAACCCTCTCCCACCCTATTGTGTGGTTGTATGTTAATGCATGCATTGCAATTGCTGAGCTTTTTTCTAAATTACTTATCTTCTCTGGGTCAACCATTCTTACCTTAGCTAAATTCTTATGTTCTGACAATCTCACTACCCCTGACCTACTAGTCTGACCTATGTAGTTGACTTAACTCACAGTCATTGCAGGGTATTTTGTAAATTATATTATTTTGTCTAATTGGGTCAACTGGGTCCTTTAACCTACAGAGCTTCTCCCACCTGAGTGAGTTTGTAGGTTTGAATGCCACCCTAATTCCTCCTTTATTTAGAATCCTACGTAAGGCCTCAGATGTCCCCTCTTTATATGGTATAACTGTACATGACTTATATTCTCTCTTATTTATATTATTATTACTGAATCCTTGTTCATCGAATCTACACACAACACATGCAATAGGAATGATTCATCACTCATACCTAAAATATGGAAAATATTACTACCAATCAAATCAAGTGAAAATCAAGTGAAAAACAATGGAACTATATAAATGAATTTAGGAAGTCGTGTGATTACCTTGATATGATTATGAGCAATAAATTGTGCTTGAAACGTCATCAGTGGATATTACTGTATAACACTGTGAGACTTTACCAAAACAAAATTTACCTATAATGGAATTACACTGTACCACAGTGCACAAGTTTTATTCTTCCCTACTATCCTTTGTTATTAAGTACTTTATTATTTCAAAGTATTATATGTAATTGAGCATAATACCCAGTGTCGTTCCAAATTAGCGCATTTAGAATACCATAGGATATCAAACTTGGCGCATACTATATACCGACTTTCGTCAGCAGCTGCCTTCGTTTTCTTCAAACTGAAGATTATATTGTAGTGGTGTTATACAGCCAATGTGTCCAACGGAATATCATTTCACATATTCCCACAGTTCAATACTGTACATTAGCAACAGAATACGATGTATATTTGAACATTTTTATTTCACATCGTTTAATGTAAACTAAAATCACGCACTCAGTGATTGGTTAAAGAATACAAGCAGTATATGCATAAATAACGTCCGATCACATGCAAATATACCTTGGCTTCCGTGTTTTGTCTTCTGCTGTTACGATATGGCTAGTCAGAAAAAGATTAGGAACAAAAAAGCTCTGTTGCAAGAACCTATTGCCCAACAAATATGCAGAAGAAAGTAGAGATGCATATAAGAAACGCTGGGGAGACTGTTGAGTGACAACATGCGTACAATGAAGGCCCCTCTCAAGTGGAACCCGAACGGCGGAACAGCAATTTGGGCGCCCACGGATGACATGAAATGGATTGGGTGGGGGGAAACGATGAAATCTTATGGACAATTGTGGAACCAACTAGAAAGGACTGCAGAGAACGGAATAAAATGGCGATTTGCCACTGAAGCTTCAAGAGAATAATAACAATAATAATATCCATTCACAGAAAATAACACACCCTGTGATCATTTCAATAATTCCTGATGCATGTTTGACTGGAACTCTATCAAATAATAAGAATCACAATGCATTGAACGATACTTCAATAGAAAGGATGTGAAAATTTAAACAGTGGACAGAGAATTTGTTGAAATAGAATACAAACCTTAGTCACTGAGATAAAATAACCTCTTTCATGTCCGAATACTCATAGAGCAAGAAAATATTACTATTTATAGCAGAAAAGAATGAACACCTGTATTATGCTAAATCAAATCATTAAAATTAAATGACCAACAAAATACCACAATCGAAAATAAGACTTCAAGACGATGGTACAAATATATGCAAAAGCGCACCCTACTTGAGATGACCGGGTAATACTGTAACGACAGAAGACAAGGGCCAGACAACGGATCGTTTATTTAGGCAATCCACTGATATTTATAGATTTTCATGTACATTATTACAGATTATTGTAAGCAGACGAACACAGTCTTCTGATTGGTGGTTTCTCGCTGAACGTTAATTTTTCATCTCTTTGTGACCGTTTCTTGAAGTTCAGATTATCTATCTGCAAATTGTATCCGCCTACACAAAGGCTGCTGTGATTGGTTGTTGTTGTTCTTATTTTTCTTCTCATGACCAATATTGGGGACGCAAACATTGACGTAAATTACTGTCTACCAGCCAGCTCTCACCACAATACTACGAAATCACAATATGTAATCTGCTTGATACCATCAATGACGACCAAGATAACAAACGTGGATGCAACTCATGATGCCTGTACACCACACATGAATAGTGTTGAACAGCACTTACATCACACTAGTAGCATTTGCTAGCTAAATCGAATTGATCTAAAAACCAGACTGCTGTTTCGTACACCAACGGTGTACCCTAGTTGGGACTCAGCTCATCTCGAACGGTAGCTAGTAAGAATTCAGGCATTAGAGAGAAGAGAACACGAAGTTCAGTGGAGATGGTGATCTTTTCGGCGATTTCATTTTCAAAACTGTACAATCGCATTTGAGTAAATAATTTTACATAGATACCATTTTTGCTTGATTCCACATAACTATGAAGGTAAATACAAGGTGACAATTTATTTTCAACTAGATATGGTTTACGAAAGGCTTAGAAAAAAAAATTACACAGGATTAGAACGAATTACAAGTGTGCAAAAAAATGAGCATGGAAACAAATTGAAATAACAATTTCCAACTTGAAATGGAAGTTGGGAGGTGTATGAGGCTCTTGTAATCTATATTCACACCTAAGTTACATTTCAAGTTGGAAATTGTTATTTCAATTTGTTTCCATGCTCATTTTTTTGCACACTTGTAATTCGTTCTAATCCTGTGTAATTTTTTTTTCTAAGCCTTTCGTAAACCATATCTAGTTGAAAATAAATTGTCACCTTGTATTTACCTTCATAATTATGTGGAATCAAGCAAAAATGGTATCTATGTAAAATTATTTACTCAAATGCGATTGTACAGTTTTTGAAAATGAAATCGCCGAAAAGATCACCATCTCTACTGAACTTCGTGTTCTCTTCTCTCTCTAATGTCCTATTGGGCGTTTTCCACGATCAGAAATCAGTCAGTTTAAGCTGTGATTCACCTCTCTAATCTGATTCAAACTGGTTTGTGCACTACACTGATCACCTCAGTTCTAAACAAGAGAAACGCCAGTCCTATATTTGGATACTGGTTACTGGTGTCCACCTACTCATGTCTATCAAAATCAGTAGTATAGAGCATTAAAAAACTGCTCCACCCTTGTTTATTATTGCGATGGTGTACCCTATCTGTGAAAGCTTTTCTCTTTCATTGAATCACTTTTCATTGATACCTTTTTTCTTCGCACCACTTTTTAATCAACACCTCACAAAAAGATAAAAATATAAGCTTACCTGATTTTCTGTTAATGAGGTCAAATTATTTGATGTAGAGAAAGCAGCTATTTTCGCATTGAAATGATTTACGATTGCCCTGAGATGATTATAAAATAAAAATTTTTTAAATAGATTTTACAATTAGATGCATACAAAATAAATAACAGAATAGACTTAGCAATACTACTATCTTTTTTTCATTGCTGAAAAAAGTGATGCTAATAATAATAATAATAGTCACAGTAAAATGAGCGTAAAATTTAAACAAAACAACATTACCTCAAAGTACTTAACTGAAGGACAACTGATGAGGCGATCTCTTTCACTTCAGTAACAGAACTAGTTGAATGTTGTAAACCTATACAAAAGAAAAGAAAACTGGAAATAATTAGCAGTTTGATCACGGATTGATATCAGCAGTTAGAGAACCAATGGAAACCAGCGGGGATCTTTAAGTAAACTGATAATCGATAGTATGTTACTTGACACAATACTGTTTGACTTGAATAACAAACCAAGCCTTATTATATTTCCCCCCTTTCTCTAAGAAACGCAGGGTAGTAGGTTCAAAGTCATTTATAAATGTGAGTGAGTACACTTTGTGACCTAAACATAATTTTTCGAGTTTGACCACGGATTGATATAAGTTAGAGAACCACTGAAAACCAGCCACAGGGAGTACTGGACAGCTGTTTCGTTCGTCCCTGTTTGGGACTCTTCATCAGCACGCACCCACACGACTGGTGTTCGAACCCAGGACGTTTCGGTTACAAAGCAAGCTCGTATGTCGTCCAGCCACTGAGACGTGACCTAATGGCCAGCCAGCCCATGAATTCTAACTTCTGCCAATTCACGACAAAGCGCGACCACTTCGCAATGTCTTTTTAGATGAGTCACTGCCTCACCTTCAACCTACTGTACCCTACTGGTCAAGACTCCCCACAAGAACCCCGGGTTAACTACCTGGATAGGGCCAGTCGCTAGTGAGTATCCCGTTGATTTTCAAGTATTGGTTTTGTAAGGATTGTTTTGTTTGATTGGTTACGGGATTTCATCATGAGCCGACATCAGTTAGAGAACCACTAAAAACCTGGGAGTACTGGAAAGCTGTTTTAACCTAGTTTGGGAATCATCGACGGTACGTACCCACTAGAGTCCGAAACCAGGACCTTGTAGGTACAAGACAAGCTCGTAGACAATTCAACCACAGGGATCAAATTCAATGGCCAGTGAATTCTAACTTCTACCAACTCGTGATTTTAGTGGGACCGCCAAACTATGTTAACGGTAGGGTTTATTTATGTATATATTGTGGGTGGATATTTCTTGACGTTGTTGTTGTCTTTGAACTGAATAGGTTAACTGAAAAATTTTGCCACAAAGTTGCGACGCTGAATGAAAGCTTAGCATCCACCTTACAGAATCTTAGTGAAACAGCTTAAAAATCACTCTCAGCAGCGCAGAGGCATTCACTCTTCGTGATCTTTCATATCCACTAGACCTTCGTGTTTCTCGATGTTATTAATCGTTTCACTCACATTTATGCTTGTTACAGTTCTTCTGAATGTCTTCTTCATCTAACTTTGTATACTATGTGGAGAAGGGTAACTCGGACTGCTGCATTTCTCTGCGAAATTCTATATTGAAACTCGGTCAGTCAGTCAGTCAGCAAAAAGGACAAACAAAAAATACCATGAAAATAAGTCTTGTAAAGTGCACACACTTTTGCACGGCTTGCATAAACGACACTATTTGCAGTAGACTAGGATGTTTTGTAATGAAAAATAAAGTGTTGAGAGAGTATATCACCATTTTAGGTGAAGCTATCCGCTATTCAGAATCAATTAAAATATTGCCAAGGTTGTCATATATGACGTCGCAGCAACTGCTGAAATGTATCTATTAATATCCAACCATTTTTATCCTACCTTTAACAAATATCGAAGAATTATTTCAAGAACTCCGACTATCAGGTATCAAGAGTTCTCCATTCCTTTGAGTTCTGAACACAAGTCTTCTACCTTGGGTATTGAAGTATCAGTAGCAGCATCGTTGTTTTACGAGGAGGGGTTGTTAGCTTCACGCCCAACCTCTTTACTAGGCTAACTATCGGCTAAGGGTGGTGTTAGAGTGTGTTGGTGGAGAATCAAACTGGGGTCACATGCTTGGCTGGCGAGCATTTCACCACTGAACCACCGACGTAATATTACTATTTATTATTGTAATTACGTGGAAAAGTTTGAGCCGAAAATAGACTAGCTCATAAGCAAATGTTTAATTATCTAAATATTATGTGCTGGACGCCACCAAAACATCAGGAGTATAAGGAATAAATGTACGAATAACAGTAGTATAATAAAGTATCATTATATTTGGGTGGTTTACACACAATAAGTTTTTTTATTATTGATAATATTTCGAGCAGATTTACTGCCCATGTTCACACCTGCTGTTGGAATTGTTTTGTTTTTGTTTAATTCACACATTTATGATTTCTACTCATATATATTTAGTTCTTTTTTTGTTCATTCATTTTTGTGTATTTAGAATTATATTCCAGGTTGCTGACAATTGTGCTGCTAAGTCACCCTTGTTCCATGTATCCGGTGTGACCTTATTGAATATAGATTCTGTTTTAAGTCACTCTTTCCATTTGTTCATGTTAGTTTTTAGAATACAAACATTGTTCCAATCGATGTTGTGGTTTTTGTCCCATGCATGTGCAGCTATAGAGGGATTTTTTTTTCTAAATTCTTATAAGCTTGTGTTCCTGTTGGTTGACCTTTAGTTAGGCGTTTATCTTCATTCACTTTTATTTTGAGTGATCTGGACGTTTGATCCACATATTTAGTAGGACACTCGGCACAAGATATTTTTCTACGAGTTTGACCACGGATTGATATCAGTCAGACAGCCATTGAAAACCAGAGAGTACTGGACAGCTGTTTTTATCCATCATTTTTATTGGATTTTTCAGTTGATTTATTTTTGATTAGATTCGTCGGTTTAAACATGGTGGGAATCCCAATATTTTTGAGGTTTCTTCGAATTGTCTCTGATGTACCAGTTTTGTATGGTATTGTGATTGTTTTTTCTTGCCTTCCTCTTTCTTGTTATTCTCTGGTTTAACCCTCTTTTTTATATTATCTCTGATGAATTCTTTTGGGTAGTTGTTGTCGAGTAACATTTTGAAAAGGACATTTATTTCTTTACACTGGTCATCCGGTGCTGTTGTAAGTATACGTATTCTATCTGCAAGACCTTGTATTAATCCTCGTTTTACCGTGAGTGGATGAACTGTGTGATAGTCAAGGAATCTTCCAGAATGTGTCGTTTTCCCACATAGCGTCGTTTTATGCTACCATCTGTTACTATTTATATTTGATCTATTCCACGATGCTCAGACTTTTTACTGACATGAACTTCACTACATAAAGTTATGAAAACATGCTACTTCAAGATTTCTCTTAATCCTTTAACGAGCATGTTACTCAAGAATTCATTACACTCGTAATTGTAATGATTAGCAAACCACTGACAATGAAACAGACGATTTTTAAGTTGAAATATGATAATGTTGATAAATCACTTAAATTACTAAGCATCTTAATCAGCATTACTCAACAATCACCAATTACCTATGCGATAGGTGTGAATAGATTATATGACTCGTTGGCTTATAAGTATTCCCCTACGAAAAAGTTCTTAGGAAGTTTAATCCTACTCCTAGGTTATGTATGGTCCTTCACATACATAAACTTAGTATTAAATGGGATTCTATCGACTCACGTTTAGCAGGACTTCGAGGCTTCTTCGCAGTTGAGTGGCGTTCAAGATCTGTCAGCGATGAGGCTGCTACTTGGGACGCTGTTGGGAGGTCGGGAGAAAGCAGCACAAGTACGTGTGAGGCGAAATACCTACGAATGTGCGACAGGGTCAGGCAAATAGTTTCCAAAGTGGGAAGGACCACATATGGTCACGTTGAGATGGGATTACGCAGACACAATCGCAATGGTAAACACAGAGAAACAGGTGAACATCCACAAGCGCCGAGATTCCCGATAGCAAGACAAAAGAGCAAAGCCCCAAGAACCAAGAAGACCGAACCAACTTCAGTGGCAAGTCTTTGACGGGGGGACGAGTGTGGTGAGAGCTGGCTGCTAGCCAAAGTTGGTAGACAGTAATTGACGTCAATGTTTATGTCCCCAATATTGGTGGTGAGAAAATGAGAACAAAGGCTTTGCGTAGGCAGATGCAGTTAGCATATGGATGATCTGACACAGCCACAAACAGATGCAAGGTTAACTTTCTGTGAGAGACAACCAATCAAAAGACTGTATTTTCTACTAACAATAAACTACAATAATGTCCATTAAAAACTATAAATATGTGTTGATTTTCCTTAATAAAGGATCTGTTGCCTGGCCCATGTCTTCTGTTGTTACACTAGCATTTACAGGAACTTGTCGAGTTCTAATAGGCAGTCAGACGCTGAATTCCTTCTCCTCAAGAAAAAAAAACAAGAAAAATAATCTGACAAAGTAGGTTTAATGAAGTATCGAGCCGGGAGTCTGACTAGCAAGTCAGGAGATTTATATAAATGAAATAAAACATATAAGGAAAACATTACTACTAGTGAATAACTATCCACAAGACTGAATTCAAAACTATATTAGGATCCTTAAGAAATATGAGGGTCTTAATGTTAATAATGAAAATAATATAAATAATAAGGAATTTGAAGCCTCGGTAATACTGCCCTATAGAGAAGGAACATCCAAAGCTCTACATACGATTCTTAACAAGGGTGGAATTAGGGTGACAATTAAATAAACCAGAGGCTTACTTTGTCGGATTAAGGACTCTACAGATTGAGAAAGGTGGCATAATTTACCAGATACCATGTAATGACTGTGAGGTCAAGCAATGAGAACATAGGAGGTGTTTAGGCAAATCCGGAATGATCAATCCTGTCTAAGTTAAATAACCTAGAAAAAACTCCATTATTGCAATGTATTCACTTACAAGCAGTCACATCAATTAGGTGGAACAAAGTGGAAGTATTACAAAGTAATATAATTAGGTGGAGAGAAAGATGCTGATCATAGTAGAATCATTGTTCATTGAATTAGTACAGAACACGTGCAATCGCAATGGCACAAAGCCTATTTCGGAAATAAGGAAAACTGGATTGAAGATGGAAAACGGGATGGAGTAAGGCTGTATAAAGTAGGTTATTGTTTCGTGGAAATGCTTACATTGGTAAGATCATGAGCAGCAATGGATTGTTCTTGCAACTTGATCCAGTTGTTAATACTGTGTCATTGCATGTTGCATCAAATTAACTTATCTAATATGGCATGGAGGTCAACAGCATTCAGTGTCAAAAATAAGATCCGGATTTTCAACTCTAATGTGAAGTCAGTGCTACTATACGGATCAGAGACTTGGCCAGCGCGTCATAAAGAGCATCTCAAACAAACTACAGACCTTCATTAACAGTTGTCTTCGCTCAATACCACTCAAGATCAGATGGCTGGCCAGAAAAGATCAGCAACAAAGATCTCTGGGAGTGGTCCAACCAGGAACCGATTGTGAAACAAATAAGGAGGAAAAAATGGAGGTGGATTGACCATACTCTGAGGAAACCATCAAGTGACATCACTAGACAAGCCATTGCTCGAGTGGAACTCGAAAGGGAAGCGACGAGTTGGTCGTCAGTGCAAGGGTGACTTGGAGGAGGTCATGTGACGAGGAGATGAAAACGTGTGGGCTGACTTGGAGCCAAGTGAAAACTCTAGTAGAGAACCGAACGCAATGGAGACACGCGGCTGAAGCCCTATGTTCCTCTAGGAATTAAAGGAAACAATAATAATATGGCATTATATTTCACTACACTGGCCAAATCCTTCTCACTGCCTAGTTTCTGATTAACTGGGATCCAACAGGAATATAACAGATTTAAGGTTTTTTATGATTACAATGAGCAACAGCAATAATAATTATAGTAATAATAGCAAACACCTTTACACACTTACAGTATTCATAAAGATTTTCAACTAGCAAATGCATACGTATTAACTCGTAATATAAATTATCATAAACATCAGCTGATTGGAGGAATCCATCTCCATGAAGAATGAAGAGATTGAAAATTTGAAGAGCCTATAAGAAAATAATATAAGAAAAAAAATTATAAATATATATATATATATACATATATATCCTAAGATTATTCATCAAAATAAGCATATTACAGATTAATATTCATTTGGTTTGTTGAGTCCTAAATGAAGCACTTGCTATTACTACTTCACAGTTCTACTGTAGGTAATAGGCTTGTCAGACATCAAGAGGAGAATTATGTTCATGAAACCATCAGGATGGCGATCGGAAATATCGACGCACTCAACAATTTATTCTTTTTTGATGAGATGGTGGCTGCTGTTTCCCCTCTTATCTGCTTATTATTACTGATTTATGTGTTCAAATTTAAACTACTTAATACTAGTAAGTAGTATAGGTTTATATTTCATATTTGGTACTTCGCAACAATAGTTATTGACTTCTATTGAAACCGATCACATTCAATGTAACAACATTCTACTTTGCTTGCGGATAATTTCCTTCGTATGGTTAGATAGTATTCGCTGTACTTTTTTCCTTTGTGTTTCATCCTCTGTTGAAAATCATTTATTCAAATCCTTATATTCTTGACCCGTACATTCGCAGATTGTTTATGTATCAACGTGAGTCACTTTTGACAAACGGCTTTGGTGTTTTTTTTCTAATTGACGCATAGTGACAGTGCGTTTGACGGTAAACAGGCTAGACACTTCATAATTCGAGGTCTGTACATTCTGTTTATTATATTCTTGTGTAACATATCACCATATTTTAGACAAATATACTTTGGATTTTTGTGAGTAACCTCAACATTTGGCTTAATTAAGCGATTGCAATTATCGGAAAAGGGCGTCAGTGGCGCAGGGGTAGAATGCTAAGGTGGTCCAGGATTCGCCCCCCCCCCCCGCAAAGCCTCGCTCAGCTGGTAATAAGCCTGGCAAAGAGGGAAGGTTGGGTGTGACACCAGTAATCCCACCCCGTAAAAAAATAAAAAAACTGCTACCGAAACTACAAAGCTCCAGGTTGTAGCCCAGTGTTCCACTGCCTTGCCCCGTAACGTGAAAGTACAGAGTTCGACCCCTGGCGGAATCATGGGTGCACACTAAAAAAGAGTCCCAAACCAAAACAAAACAACTAGAAAGTGAGCCATTGTTTTCAATGATTCTCTATTTGGTTGTGGTTCGTGACAAAAGCCTACATCGTATCAATTGAACAAAAATTTCTCCCCTATTGAATATTGCCTTAGCTAACTCAAATGCGTATCCATTTTCGAAACAGAAATAGATCTTCTGAAAAAAAGAAATCTTCATTTAAAACGGATATCCACCAAGATTCATTGACAAGAATATCATAACCAAAAGCACAGAGGAACGAAATATCACTTGTTCCAAAGAGTGAAATTTACATGAACTTGGATTTCAAGGGAGACTTAGCTTGCGACATCCTCAACAGAAGACTTTCATCATATTTGAGAAGAACATTCAGTTGTCTACTGGTCTGCAGATGCCTTAGGGATAAGATCTAGCATCTGGCCACTTCTATGTGAACAGATTGGTTCACTTGTTGCTGTGGAGTCAGGTAGATTGGCTGTTCAACGCATATCCTGTCTAGACAGGTTCAAGAACATTACGCTTTCATCTCCTTTGCATTATTGAAGTTTTCACCATTCAGTTAGAGAAACAGGAGCTATGCATACAAAAAAAGTTGTTCAACCACCCTTACTATCATGGTAAAAACCTTGTTCATTTCTACTGACTTGATTTTTATTCGTTTGTTTATCCAACTCTTGATAACTCTTGTATTTCTTTAGAACTCTTACATAATTCCATATTCCTCTTTGTTTCTATGTTCACCCTGATTACAACTCATTCATTCAATTATTCATCTTATTAGGTAACTCTAATACATCTATTCAACAGCTCTTATGCATTAACTACTGTTAACAACCATGACTGTGTTGCCTACCTTCTTTCATGAAAAATTGTATATACATGAGATTGTACAGCTAAAGAAAATGAATTCGCCGGAAAAAGCATCTTCACCGAACTACGTATTCTGACTTCATTAGTGTCTGGATGAGGACTATTCATGAAGTATATCTAATGACACACAAACTCGAAAATCTACAGATGATAAACCAACAAGTTGACAGAAGAAGTAACGAAGACAGAACTTTTTAAACGGATGTAGAAAAGACAGAAGTGATGAACATAAAATAACCAAAAAGAACAAGAAGCGCCAATCACTGTCAACAGGAGAAATTCGAAAGAGGTCACCTCTTCAACTTATATCTAGCTGGCATCGTTTCAACCACAGGTTGAATAGATGAGGATGCCGACACCAATGAGGATTGGAAAAGCAATAAACGTCTTGAATAATCTTAAATCACTGTGGAAATCTACTGAATTCACTACAGAGAAAAATATTTGGATTTTCAATACTAATGTCAAGTCAGACAGCGCTTTGAAATGGGTCAGTGATTTGGTGCTTGCAACACAAAAAGAATTTTCAACAGGCTGCGAAATTTTATCAGTAGCTGCCTTCGTCCCATATTGAAGATCAGATAGCTGGTTAGAAATGATTAGCAATAAGGAACTCTAGCAGGCAACAAACCAATCAAGAACCTATAACTCAACAGATATGTAGAAGAAAATGGAGATGGATCGGACACACCCCAAGGACATCGCACTCTATGCAACCCGTCTAGTAGAACTCCAATGGGAGGCGGTCAACCAGCTTGGCATCCTAGAGAGACCCATGTGAGGAGGAGATGTGAACGTATGGACAATCGTGAAACTAGTAAAAAGGACTGCAGATGACAGGATGAAATGAAGATGTGCTGGTGAACCCTGAGGTTCGACTCGGATCCCAAAGGAATAGCTGTACGTTCATTTTAATAATTATAAAGTAAAATATTACAATTACCCTAACAATCTGTTGACACATATTTCACTGTTGATCTGTTAATAAACACTTACAGAAATGAGAAATATGAATCCTGATAATCTCATCGATGGAAGTATTAAAAGTTATATTTATCCACCAACCAGTAAATTAGGTAATGCTCATCAAAGTAAAATATTCAGTCCATAGATATTCAGTAAACCACAGATTGAAGGAAAGCGGAAGTTTTAAAGTTGAAGTCTATAAATTAACTAACTTGTCAATCAGCCTTTTATTAAACAGGGTACATATTAAAAGGTCAATGAAACTCTTTTGCAGACACAAATCACAAATGAATTACTACTGATTTTGATGTGGTTGTGTTCTCTGAGCTCAATAGTTAATTTGCTAAGCTTTCATTGCCCCACCACTAGGAAACATCTTCAGCGCATACTTCAATTTCTTGAATTGAGCTTTTAGATTTCTTCACGAGTTTATTAATCATCTCTCCCGGTGACCCTGGACGTGATTAGTTGTTGTTGTGTGTTTTCACACCTTCTAGGCTACTTGTATTGGAACTGATTGTTTCCTTGACTTGAACTTTGGCCCTTTGTGTATGAGATTTACTTGTTATCGATCGGTAAATTTTGTCAATTTCGATGTGTCTATTGATTGATGATTCACTGGAACACCAGACAGCGTTCTAAAAATTCTCTAGCATTTTCGGTGTTTCTTCTGTCTGATATTTGAACGTTGTCCCACTCGAATTGATGTCCGTGGTTTTCTGTATGTAGTGGTATGAGGGAGTGGATGTCATGTCTTTTGACGGCTAGCTTATGTTCATGAATATGAAGACGAAACGGACGGCCACTTTGACCAATGTAGTGTTTTTCGCAGTTGTTACACTTTATTTTGTAGATGATGTTGGTTTTATCTTCTTTCGCTGTTGAGTCTCTTGGTTGACATAGAACTGAGTGAAGTGATTCTGTTGGTTTGTGTACGATCACAATTCTTAATGGTTTGAAGAGTCTTGCGGTGATTTTTGAGATGTCCTTTATATATATGGTAGGGTTATTTTCTTTGTGCTTCCCTTGGGGGCCTTTGATTTCATTGGTTAGCTTGGGGGTATATATCTTTTGATGAAATTCCGTAGACATACATTCTTTTGGAAGACGTCCACGAGATATCTTTTTTCAATTTTCCATGAGGTGGGAGTGCTGCAATGAGTCCTGGCTCTCTTGAATAGTGTTTGCATAGAATTCCTTTTGTGTGTTATTGGATTGCTGCTGTGGTAATTCAGTATTTGGTCTGTGTGAGTGCTGGAGAATTTTTAAAAGTCCACCTGGTATTCCAGTGAATCATCAATCAATAGACACATCGAAATTGACAAAATTTACCGATCGATAACAAGTAAATCTCATACACAAAGGGCCAAAGTTCAAGTCAAGGAAACAATCAGTTCCAATACAAGTAGCCTAGAAGGTGTGAAAACACACAACAACAACTAATCACGTCCAGGGTCACCGGGAGAGATGATTAATAAACTCGTGAAGAAATCTAAAAGCTCAATTCAAGAAATTGAAGTATGCGCTGAAGATGTTTCCTAGTGGTGGGGAAATGAAAGCTTCGCAAATGAACTATCCAGCTCAGGGAACACAACCACATCAAAATCATCCACCACCTGAGCCGCAAATCTTCTCCATCATATTTGAATTACTACTGATTGGTCATCCATAAACATCTTACTGGAATGATAGTTTCATCCATTTGAACCTCTCCAAAATGCTAAAAATGTATGTCATAATTAGAAAGGTTACACTCTAGTGGAGAACCTTTGGTATTTTTGTTTATTATAGACCAGTCACTATTTCTTTTTATTATTAGTTTGAATCAGACGTTGACTAGTAAAACTAACAATTAAATTTCTTTTGTTTTTTTTGTCTTTACTTATAATCAATCACCTAGCATTAATTCAAAAAACAATTGATGATGGCAGTCTAACATAAATTGTGCTTAAATGCACATTCAAATTATTATTGACCTCAATAATCAGTGAACTTATGAAAATCATTTAAGTCTTACTTTTATGGAAAGTTTTAGCATCACACATTATAAAATATTTGAATATATATTATTTCCAAAACTAGAAACGGTTTATGTGGTGCAGATTTGAACTCAGTTACCAGGCTTCGATTATGCGCATATACCGCGTCAACAGCCACACTTAACGTGAGAGGCATGATAGTGCTACACAGTTGCCCAGATTGAAACAGATGGGACGGGAGTCGAACTCGAGATCCACTGACTAAAAGCTGATTGCTTCAGGCATAAGATACCTATCCATGGTGTAGAATATTCTGTTGAGTAACATGAGTACTTAGTAGCAAGCTTGTATCAACCAACAGTTCCTGTTAGCCAGATAAAGGGTTGAACGATTATTTTTATATTCATCTACCTCTAGGTTCCAGTGTTAATAAAACTAATTCAGCTCAGACTTCCGGGTTGGGGCCCCCGGGACTCTAAGAATCAATGGATGGAGACAATAGGTGACATGGCTCAAAATCGTTGTCAGTGGCGCAGATGTATTCAGTCTCTGTAATATTCAGTCTCATATTCCTTTCTACCATTACTCATTCTGTTTCACTCTTATACTTGTCAAAACTCTATTGATTCTCTTCACTCATTTTCTTGTCTACCTTTGTGTGCTATTTGGAACGTGACAACTCGAACTGATGCACTTCGTTGCCAAGTTCTATGTTGAATCCAGACAGACAGATCTAACTCAGAGGGCCATCTAATGAAAGAGCATTTCAAATCCTGTGGCTTGTGAATAAATTTGCCTCAGCTGAGGAATCACACACACATAGTCTTAAGAAACAGAAGCTTAAAAGTTAACCACTAATGCGTATATAATATCAATAAGTCATTAAGTATCCACACCAAACAACCACCTACCTTTTCAATAAGCCTGAGAGCATCAGGTAGAGATAGATTGCTAGAATCTAAGTTGAGAATAAATTTCAGCAAACTCAGAATAACTGCGAAACAAATAAGAAAGAAGGAAAAAGAATGCAAATAATTCATTCAATAACTACTAGTGGAAACATGTTACATGTTTTCTTCTCTTTTAGCCAATATAGAAAACTATATGCTCGCACCAGCAAGTACAAAAACTCAACCATACCCTACTTAGCTCGTGTTCTGTGTGATAAAGAAAGCATTAGGCGTGACACCCATAATTCATTAAATAGTCAGTAGTACAACTGGATCTCGTCTTTCCAACTCATATCATCAATATGTACAACATTTTCTTTCTTTCTTTCCCTTTTCTCTCCCTTCTTTTTCCGTTTGCGCTGCTTTGTTTCTTTCTCTCGCTTACACCAGTTAATAAGACAGCTCCCACTTTTCTAACACCTTCAAACACTGTTTCAGCTTTACCTTTGCTACTGACATGCCAATGTATTGTTGTAATAATGAACTGTGGTTTCCTCAATCTATGTAGAATTCTATTTATTGATAATGTACTAACTGGATGCAATACTGTAGTATAAAATGCTGACAATTCCATTCTGTATCACATGTACTGTTTTGGAATAAAGCAAATTATTATTATTATTAGAAACTTTCTTGTATAAATAATAAGATTAGAGGTTAATTGGTAGATGGTGACTAGCAGTGGAATCCAGGATGTTCGTTTCGTCCTATTTGGAACTCGTCCACCAGCTAGATGTACATGCATTCCCTAGTGAGTGATGATGTTCCCCGCACCGAGGCTCGAAACCAGTGCCCAAAGGGTTACCCACTAAACCACTTGGGCCACGACAGCCACCTCTTCTGCAACGGGTCAAATTTTTTTTAATTTGATTACAGCTTGATGCCATACCGTATTTTCAGTACAAGTATGGAATTTTCAGCATGGATATTGGTAGCCCAAATTTTGCAGGCCGACCATAGATATCGGGTGTGCATCGGCAGGGGATCGAACCCCGGACCATGTGCATGGTCGGCGAGAGTCCTAGCCACTGTGCCACCGACGCGCATATTAATTACTTAATTCAATTTTAGATTTTCCTATCCATTGATTGAACTGAAGTGCTCGGTCAGTCGATGGGAAAATCTAAAATTTAATTAAATAATAAAATATTTCGATTCAGCTTCTTTTATACTTGGTGTATGTTGGTTCTTGTGGAAACATACACACTGTGACACCTAATTTAACTGTTTTAATTTTATTTATTTGAATATATGACTTATATTATTATTATCATAATTGTTCCCTTGGGTTCCTAGTGGAACATAGGGCTTCAACTGCACGTCTCCACTTGCTTCTGTCTTCTGCTGTACTTTTCACCTGCATCCATGTTAGTCCATACTGTTTCAACTCCTCTTTACACGATCTCCTCCATGTCACATTTACTAGAGTAAAAAAAACTACTAATGGACAACTTATCGGGCTACAGGTATACATTTTAATGAACTATTATCATTCCCTTGGAACATGGGGATCTCTAATTCACTTTTTAGCTGGTTCCACCACTGCCCATAAGCTCTCATTTTCTATATTTCTCCCTCGAACACACTCCCGACTCATTGCTTACCATCCCAGTTCCACTAGAGGGCCTGTCTTCAACGTGATTTCACTGAACGGTGTCCGTCGGTTTGTATCCAATTAATCTTCTCTTTCTTCGGCATATTTGTTGGCCAACTGGTTCTTTAGTTGGTTCGGCAGTTGTTGATGAACGTCTGGCGTAGCATGTTGGAAAGTCTTTTCGTGACACGACAAGTCGACTACTATTGTTGGCAAATAATGCTGAAGTGAAGTTACAAAAAGAAGCTTTCTTTCTGACTTAAACGTTCTTAATTCTATTCGATATTGTCTCATCAAAATACTTCTAAAGTTGAAGGTAATTGGGTTCCAGTAGCTGAATGTTATGCGAGCCAGCTTGCCCTGTACCCAAAAGGTTCAAACCCCAAGGGACGTATTGTCAATCATTCCCAAACTAGGCTGAAATAGCTGTCCAGTACTCAATGGTTCTCTAACTGATACCAAACTGTGGTTAAACTAGAAAGACAAATCAAATCCTTACAAATCGACTCTTGAAAATACGGAAAGTATTTAAAAACGAGTACTGTAAAAAAATTATATATATATATATATATTCATACAACTAACCTGTCCATAATGATTTCCAATCGAATTCTAAACGAATTTTGTGAGCTCTTTGATAGCACAATAAATTCTGACAGATGATTAAACATAACCTAGTTAAGCAATTAGAATATATACCAAAGACACCAATCAATACATTCATTCTTGTTTTAAATATGTGTATAAATTAGGCATAAAATTAAAACAAATTAAAAGTTCACAACCTAATTCCTTATTGTACTTGGTTCTTTGTGCTGTTAATCAAACCAATGATTCAATATTCAATATTAGTGTAAAAATAATTTTAGAAAAAAGGTATTGAGTTATTTCACAGGCAAGGAAAATGAGAACAGAACATGTTTGACAACACTACTTAGGGTGGCTGAAAAGGGGAGACATCGGTCCAATCACAGACGCTATAAGTGAACAACCAGCCCCTGAACGTGTCACAAAATCACAACAGGGCTATTTACAAAGTAAACGGAAATCCGCCAAAGTCAGTGTGTGTGTGTGTGTTTCCAACTTCTTTTTACATTAGAAGCCCTTACCATATGCATAGAGAAGCTGGAGCTATGTGGATCTAGTTCTGTTTGGCTCCAAAGCTGTTGTATTTCTTCATTACTTTCATTTTTTTTCGCCTTCAGTTATAAAAACTGTTATTCTATGAACATCATGGTCACACGTCCGTCTGGATTAAAAACTATACTGTATAAATTACGTAACTAATTTTGTTTCTAAGCCCCTTGTAATCTATATCCACAGGTTCAAACATTCATATCAGGATGCAAACTATTATATCTGTTTTAATTCGCCTTCGTTACTACATTGAAATGAACAATAGTTGTAACTGTGCGAACTTATGTGTAGAAATACAATCATACAGTTTTCAAGGTATTAAATCGTCGAGAAGAAATCCCTGATGAACATCTTATATGTTTTTCCTCTCTAACAATGACGTTGATATTTAATTGAATTTAAGATTTTCCCGTCGATTGATTGGACCGAAGTGCTCGGTCTCAAGTTGACATGTCGGCTTCTTGTGCAGATGCTTCGACGATGTCTGGGCATGTAATTAGAAGTTAATTCGTGGATGGTGGCTAGCAGTGGAATCCAGGAGGTTCGTTTCGTCCCATTTGGGACTCGTTAGCTAACTGGATGTACCTTCATTCCCCAGTGAGTGATGACTTTCCACGCACCAAGGCCCGGACCCAGTGCCCATAGTTTCAAACGCAAAAGGGTTATCTACTAGACAACTTGAGCCACGAGAGCCACCTCTTGTGCAAAGGGTCATATTAATTATTCAATTGAATTTTAGATTTTTCCGTCGATTGATTGCACTAGTGGATAACGCTTTGGGGTTTGAAACTATCGGCACTGGGTTCGAACCTCGGTACGAGGAAAATCACCGCTCACTGCGGAATGCAGGTACATCGAGTTAGCTGACGAGCCCCAAATAGGACGAAATGCGCACCCTGGATTGCACTGGTGTTGATATTTGTTTGAGGCAAAAGTAACTGTAATCATCCTCAATGGTTAGGCTATCTGTAGCTTGAAATCACTATACTGATAGGTAGAAGGATTAGAGCTATAAAAACATGTGAGAAAATTGTGTGAATCCGTATTGATATTGCTTATGAGCAATGAATTGTGCTCAAAACGTCATCCAGTTATTATTACTGTATCATTATTTCCGTGTGTGTGTGTGTGTCATATTGAATGAACTCATCTAATATGGAACCAGATAACTGGAATGCGAACTTCACCAACATCCTTCTATAAACTACTTTCATCAGGTGCGTGTCAGTGGCTCAGCGGTAGAATGCTCACAGACCACGCCTCATGTGGTCCGGGTTTCGATCCCCGGCCGACGCACTCCTTTACCTCGCTAAACCAGTAATAAGACTGATAAAGAGGGAAGGTTGGGCATGGGGCTAGCAACCACTGCTACCTAAACTTCAAGTCTCTAGCCTGAAGCACTATGTTCCACTGGGAACGTAAAGGAATAAAAAAAGAAATCTATCAACCTCTCTTTTGTATGTAAATGATATATCTAGTAATGTTATTTTAGAACCATTACACATTCCAATTGAAATTTGCACATAGTGCAGTATATTGAAGAACAATAAAGGCTTTGCAGTTAGACGATTTAGCTCAGGCAACCCAACCACATCGTAAAGCATCCACCTGAGTTACAAATCATCCTCTACGTTATTACAATGCAATTCCACCCAAGAAGCCATCATAAAAGTAATAGTATTATACACTTTTCAACAGAGGTTTTGTCGTCCAACACAACTAAAAATACATCTAAACAGCAGGACACGAATTGGTATCTTACTCCACGAAGACTGAGATTTGAAGAAGTAAGAGGTAGTGAGACGGAAGACTATAATTCAACTGTGAATAGGGTTTGAATCAGGAAACCAGTAATTTAAAGTTACATGTTTATCTTAGTGAATCACAGTGATACATAAGGAGAATAGTGAAATGAGATCTTATTCTTGATTCCTGATGTGCAGCTACCAATAAAATGTGAGAAATGCCGCTTTATATATATATATATATACATATATACGTATATTAAACAGACGGTTGCAGCGAAGAAAATTTTCTCTTCGACGAAGTTATCAACTAGGCTGTACATTCGTGCACTTATATTACATGTGTGAGAAAGCTCCAGAATTATTTCCGGTCAGAGTAATAAAATTACTAAGTGTAATAAGTGTCATATAGTTTTGAACTAATAATGGATTCGTCTTTCATTCTCTTTAATAACTTTGTTAGCTGGAGCTCCGTCCGTTCGGTGGGATCTTTCTGTAGAAACTGTTTTTGAAACTTTTCATCATCAGACAGTATCACCGAGAGTGTTTGCTTAGGTAGTCTGATTTGTCCATCAAGACGATCCTGGAGACTGCAAAGGGGTATGCAGTTTGATAGCAGAACATCTGGTGCATTCTAGACATCCAGCCCCATATGAAAAGTCCTTCAAAGCCATATATAGAATCCGATTCAACCTATCAAAGGGAGTGAAATGAAGACATCTAGGAATAGCTGAGGCACTGGCGATCCAAAAATGCAAGCCTATTCTAGTGCGTCTAAAGGAAATACGTCCAAACATTGTCCCTACCGTGGTCATCATGGAATGTCAGTCTCACCAATAATGATGATCCTTTTACCTTTCTTGTCTAACCTTCCCGTTTATTTGTTATATTTACCTTTTAAATCCCTATCTGCATTATTAGATTTGGTTACTTTTTTTTGTATGTCCGAACCTCCTACCCATTTCGTTAATACTACATCCTTAACCCGTAATTATACAAACTGACTAGTTTTTTAGTAATTATAATACTACTTTGATTTTTCTACACGATCTTCCTGATTATTACACATTGTATTTGACCTTTGACCTGAAATATTTCTAGAATAGTGCTACTACCTATCTATCTTCTGTTTATTATACCTAATTTTATTAATCTGATCTCTGACCGGAAATAATTCTGGAACTTTCTCACACATGCAATATAAATACACGAATGTACAGCCTAGTTGATGACTTCATCGAAGGGGAAATTTTCTTCACTGCAACCGTCTTTTTAATAATTCCTATGATCCAGTATGTATATTCCGTGATATATATATATATATGTATTAGCATTCCAAGACGTGTTTGAGTAGACCGCCTCCTTATTAAATTTAGAATTGCATGAAGAATTTCATCATGAGTTAGAGAACCACTGGAAAACCTGGGAGTACTGAACAACTGTTTCGTCCTAGTTTGGGACTCAGTGGGTCCCAGCTCTCTAGTACTCCCAGGTTTTTAATGGTTTACTAACTGATATCAGCTCATGATGAAATCCTTCAACCAATCAAACAAAAATCCCCACAAAACCAATACTTGAAAATTAATCTGATGCTCACTAGTGACTGGCCCTATTCAGGAAGTTAACCTGGGGTTCTAGTAGGAAGCCGTGACCCGTAGAGTACAGCAGGTTGAAGATGAGGCAGTAACTCATCGAAGAAGACATTGCGAAATGGTCGCGCTATGTTGTGAATCGGTAGAAGTTAGAATTCATGAGCTGGCCATTGGATCAGGTCCCAGTGGCTCAATGGTATACGAGCTCTCCTTGTAACCAGAAGGTCCTGGGTTCAAACCCCGGTGGTTGCGTACTGATGAAGAGTTCCAAACTAGGACGAAACAGCTATCCAGTACTCCCAGTTGGTTTTCCAGTGGTTCTCTAACTGATGTCAGCTCATGATGAAATCCTCCATGCAATTAAACAAAAATCCCTACAAAACCAATGCTTGGAACTTTAGAATTGCATAAGATGAAAGTAAGATTCGCATACCTGTATAAACGATGTGGAAGCTTCTTCATCAAATGTCCATGAGCGAATTCTATCATTAAGTCTGAATAAACAAAACAAAAAGAAGAGAAACTAAATACACATTATAATATATACATACATATAGTATATGTACATTGGCCACATAACGGTAACTACTTCACACAGAATTAAAGCGACTTGTCAATATGAGTTAATAGACAATACTGAATTACAAGTAATTATACAATGGAGAATAATTTCTACATTGACTGGTCATAAGGGCGTAACCATTTTCATGCATGCCTAGTTTTTAATTGTTAACACTGACGGAACGCGTAGACCCTTTAACGAGAATGCATCTATATCACAGCCTTGTTATAGCTCAGACATGTACCCAAATGACGCACAGACATATCTCTGACTGGAGTACTGGGCAACGTTGTTAAACGAAGACTAAATGTTCTATGAGAGAGTGAGATTATACAAGTGATGATGAATGTAACTTTATAATTTTGCATGAATGAGACATGCAATACTCCATATTTAAGCAATATAACTAAACAACTAACTGTTAACACCTCACAGATTCACTGGCGGTCAAACCAAAACATGACTTCATCAGTCAATGAAATCCACAACAGTTAGTTTAAGCCAGCCACATAGGAAGGTGTAGACTTCCTGACTGGTTGGGTGGGGTCCTCGGAACAGCAAACACCAATGGCTGGAGACAATTGGTGATATGGCTCAATATCGTTCTCAATGGTTGGCGCAGATGCATCCACTCCTTGTGACTTATAATACCCAATAAAACTATATTGTTCTTCGATATTACTTTTCTTTTTGCCTCGTATCTCTGTTTATTACCTCTATTTTGAATCTCTTTTTACTTTCTTCTCTTGCTTTGTGTTCTGAGCGAAGTGTGGCGACTCGAACTGCTGCACATCGGTGCAAAGTTCTCTGTTGAAATCAGTCAATCAGTCACAGGAATAAACAATCAATAAGAAATATCTGACATTTGCATATCGCTGTAATTACAGATACACCGATATCGGTGCTTATAACATTAAATATTTATCTGAGCTGAGATTGAGGTCTTAATGTAGACGTTTGCATAAAAGTGCAGCTGTTCAAGTTGCCACATTTCATAAGTACACAAGTGTAAAAGGAAAAAATGCAAAGCAACTACAATGAAGAGAAATGTAAGGAAGAAAGTATATTTACATGGAGGATAATGAGAATTTCATCAATCTAGGGGCTCATAAAGAGTGAGTGAATACATCTGTGCTATTGACAACGACTTTGGACACCAACAGTCATCACCCATTGGTTCTTACAGTCTCTAGGACCTCCCTATATGGCTAAAACAAACAGTCGAAGACTTCATGGATTGATGACAGGTTTTGACTTGACCACCACTAACTTTTCACCAACATAAAGCAACATAAGCTGGCATTGTTCGGTGAGGAAAGCGATGGCTTAACATAAGTAGCACATTTCTTAGTCATCTCAATCGATAGAGCTTCACAACATTGACCTACTTGACCTCCTTACCTAACCCCAATATTACTCATCATACTATGCCATCCAACACGGGAGATAGAACGCAGACACCCACGGTAAAAAAGAAACACCTAGTCCCTTTAGGTGCCAGACCCTTAAAAACCCTGTCTCATAGCCAAAAAGAAGGACACAGAGAAATTCCGCACAGAGTATACGCCTTTTGATCAATAGCTGGACATCATATGCCTACGCCAGAGATGGTGTAAACTGATACTGGAAACAAACACTTCTTCGATGGATAACATTTACTGTACAAACTCCTTCAAAGCAACACTTAAGAATTAACCTAATATCCACTAGTGATTGACTGAAGAATGAAGTTATCTGAAGTTTTAGTGGAGAGTCTTAACCAGTGGAGTCCACGAAGTCGGTAATGACGACAAATACTCGTCAATGACATTGACCGGTAGTCGCATTATACATATATAACGAATTGGTAGAAGTTAAAATTCATCCCCCATTGGATTATGTTTCAGTGGCTTAATAGGTGACAAGCTCATTTCATAACCTGAAGGCCCTAAGTTCAATCCCCAGTGGGGTCACTGATGCGTACTGATGAAGAGTCCCAAACTAGGGCGAAGCGGCTGTCTATACTCCACGGATTTTACTGGTTCTCTAACTAGTTTCAGTTGATGATCGAAATTGAAAGCAATCACATTACTGCAAGCGTTTGTGGCATAGTGGTTAGGACGCTCGCCGACCATGCATATGGTCCGGGGTTCGATCCCCGGCCGATGCACTCCTTTACCTCGCTAAGCCAGAATTAAAAAGCTGGTAAAGAGAAAAGGTTGGGTATGAAGCTAGCAACCCCATCCTGTAAAAATAAACACTGCTACAGAAACTTCAAGCTTCTAGCTTGAAGCCCTATGTTCCAGTGGGAACGTGAAGGAATAAAAAAAAACATTACTGCAGAACAAAACTTGAAAGAGATGTAATAAGGCATCTTAAAAATGAATACACTTTAGACCACATGCAACATTCCTAGAGAAATATGATGCATGTCACAAACACACACACACACATACACCAAATGAAATAGAAATGAAAGGTTACTCAGAATCTGCTTGTATATGTGTGAACACTTATTGTTATGTTAGGCTTCATCAGACTGCCTAACTAGTCACAGCTAAATATTTGAAGAGAAGTTCGAACCTGTGGCCCACTAGTTGAAACGTGAGTTGCTTAAGAAACAAAATATATGAACTACAGATTCTCTGGAATGGAAAAATCTTCAACCAAACTTTTCGCGATACACTCAAAACAATCAGATTCTCAATTTTAAATTCCTTGAATACACAACGCTGAATGTTATAAGATATAAAGTGCAGAGGTATGCATGGAAAAAGGATTAGTTTAAGACGAATGCTCGATCGTGACCTCAGGTATATAGCGTACATGTCCATTTAGCAAATGATTAAACTGTTTGCTCAATGATTTAACTAAGTCATACTATAAATTTTAAAATATGTTAACAAACGAACATAAAAAACGAAAAATAGGACTAAGGAGAAATAAAATACAGCGCAATTTAATAAAACTATATATACATATATATATATATATATATTAACCTTAAGTATAAAATTCTAATAACAACCCACTAATGTGGGCTGTGAGTCATAAGTGATTGACATTTGAAGAAACAAATGCAAAACCGAAGATGTAAACACGGAGATATCCGTGATTAACAACTATCCATAAACGGAATACGTGCGTCAGTGGCATAGTGGTAGAACGCTCTCCGACCACGCATGTGGTCTGGGGTTCGATCCCCGGCTGATGCATTCCTTTACCTCGTTAAGCCGGGAATAAGACCGGTAAACAGGGAAGGCTGAGCATGAGGCTAGCAACCCCACCCCGTAGAAGTGAACACTGCTACCGAAAATTCAAAGCTCTAGCTTGAAGCCCTATGTTCCCCCTGGGAACGTAAAGGAATTTTTAAAAAAAGAACAGTTGCACTAACCTAAGATAGCCATAGCAATTGGACGACTTGTGAAAACATTGTAGTTCTTTGGATCAGATTTACGTGAACGCTAAGACAGAGAAAATTAAAAAATAAAACAATATTTGCTCAGTAAATAACAAGCGTAACTATTTTTTTTCTAAATAAACTTCAGACTAAATGTACTACTGAAAGAATAACACAGCGTATTACATATTAAAAGTAACATAAAGGGGATGGGGAAAACTTAAATATCAACAGGGGGTAAATAGACTGCAAATTAAACATTGTATTAAAATCGAAAAATTCAAACTGAGTCGTATTCACAGTTTACATAGTTCGAAGTAATTTCTCCCAGAAACTGAAATTATTCAGACCACAACATGTGACCTACTTGACACTATAATTGGTGATCAAGAAGGCAAGCATAATTGATTGACTGATTGATTGAGATGAGCAGAGGTGAGATCGACGTGATTTACACGCCACCGCATGGCCATGTCACTCATTTGAGGTCTAGCTCATCAACAGTGTACCCGGTATCACCGGTTTACTCAAATAACTAGCAAGAAATAGAGTGGACTTGAATCTATTCGGCTCTTTCTCAGCTAAATTAAACCAGGTCCATCATTGATGAGCACCAAACGAGCGAAACGGTCGTCTGGTGTTTGGATTACTTCGATGTGGCTAGCAAGCAGTACTGGTTGATGTGAGTGCTATACAGCGTATAGCTTCATACAATATTAACTGGTTTTTAGAGGAAAATCGATCGTCGGACCATAATTTTCAACTACAATATAGCGTGTACTACTGATAAGATAACTGTAAGTAGCATAGCGTGTGAGATGTTTCCTGCAAGAATATTGAATAGCGGAACAACAGATTAAATTGTGAAGAGATGAAATGAAAGATCCATTGTGAAACAGTATAGAAAGCTTAAAAGGAAGACGAAAGAAGCACTAAAATCGAAGAACATATGCAAATGAAGATTTCAATATTAGGATTATTGATATATGCATTTAGTGGAAATAGATCAGATAACTGAAACCTAAGCTTCTCCATCAACAGGAGAAGCCTAAAGAAAATCGTCTCTTTACGATCCTTGAGTAGCATCGATCCAACTACAAGCGGCACAGATAAGTATGTCACAGTGTGGTGACAGCCGTCTGCTAGCCAAAATTGTAGACACCAATTTACGTCAATGTTTACGTCTCAAATCGGAGTCACGAGATAAAACAATAACAAAGCCTAACCTTGAGAAACTCAACAACCAATCACAGCAGACTTAGCGTGGGTGGATGCAATTCGCAGATATATCATCGGAATGTCTAAGAAACGGTAAAAAAGAGATGGCAGAATAACCTTCAGCAGGAAAACAACCAATCAGAAGATGTTGCTTCTCTGCTAACAATAACGAATAATAATGTACATAAAAAAATCTATAAATATCTGTCGATTTTCCCAATAAACGATTCGTTGCCTGGCCCGGATCCAGGAAAGCAAAACAGACCTTCATTTCTCTAATATCACTGTGAAAACTTATGGTACTCAGCACAAAGAATTAAATCCGAATTTTCAACACCAAAGTCAAGTCAATACCACAAAATGGTTCAAAGACCCGGTGAGTAAGTTACGGAAAACATTCCCAAGAGGAAACTACAGACTTTCATCAGTAGCTGCCTTCGTGAGTTTGATAGTGGAGATTAGACGAACAACCAGTAAGGATATTAAAGAAAAGACTCTGACAACAAACAAAAAACAAGAACATATTGGCCAACAAATACGCCGAAGAGAACGGAGATAACCTGAACATGCACTGACAAGACTATTTCAGTGTAGTCACACTCAAAGTATGTCCACGAGTGAAACTCGAATAGAAAGCGATGAGTTGAGTGAGCATCCTGGAGTGACTTAAAAAATATCATATGAGAAGAAAATGAAAACTTGTGAGCAGTTGTACAGTCATCAGAGAACATAGCCCGTATGGAAACACATGGGGATTTAATGAATATGCGAGGTTGCGAAGAGTGAATGCATCTGAATGCACTAGGAACGATCTTGAGCCAATTTTCTGCAGTCATTAGTTCTTAGAATCCCGATGACACCGACCAGAAACTCTACACTTCTCTACTTATTATTATTATTCCCTTGGGTTCCTAGTGGAACATAGGGCTTCAACTGCACGTCTCCACTTGCTTCTGTCTTCTGATTGGTTCTTGTTTCGTTTATTCCCATAGTTTCTTGTTGGTGATTCTTTACGGCCATCTGATCTTCAGTATAGAGCGAAGACAGTTGTTGATAAAGGTCTACCTGCAACAGGCTGTTGGAAATATTCTTTGTGACCCGCCGCCAAGTTTCTCATCCGTATAGAAGAACTGACTGACTTGACGTTTGTATTGAAAATCCGAATCATTTTGTTGTTGATGCAGGCTGAGTGAGGAAGATTTCCAGATTGGTTTCAGATTGATCAATGTGTTTCTCGTTTTTCCAATTCTCAATTTTACATCTTCGTCCGTTCCTGCTGTAGTTGAGACAATGCTCCCTAGATAATGGAATGAAGTAACCTCTTTCAAATCCCTCCCGTGGATGGTGATTGGCGGTGGATGTTGCTGCTGCTGTTGTTGTTGCTTGGTTGGTTGGTTATTTTCATAACCTCCGTCTTGTCTATGTTCACCTGGAGTTCTGTCTTCGCTGGCTGCTTCTTCGACCGGTTTGCGGATAAATCTTTCGCCTTTTTCTACACTTCTCTACTTGGCCCAAACTAATTGTCAGAGATTTCACAAACTGATCACAGGTGTTTCTCTTTGACTAATCCCATCTATTTTCCAACCGAATTCTATGTCAGCTAACATTACTTGTTGAGGTAGGCGGTGGTTCAGCATACGCAACACGTGTCCTAACCGTCACAATCGGTACAAAACAACCAAACAGTTCATTTTGTCACAAAGACAAAATGTAGCTACAATATGATTCGAAGTAATCATCAAATAATTTTTTTTAAATTGTGTGTATTTGTGTGTGTGTGTATTACTGGATCATGGTTTCATATTTTATTTCTATGTCATCAACTAGAATGGTTGTTTATGAGACAACTAGTTTTAAACAAATAACTAATTGATAAGTAGGTTAATTTTTAAAAAATCAATATTATAAATTCAAATAAATAGGCGTACGTACATACAAGCAAAATCAGATGAAATCATAGTTAGTTAGTTAGTAAACACTAACAATAAATAAATTATGATAATTAGCAAGCAAACTTACAGCTTTATGTATTCTAACTTTAAAGCTAGTTTGAATATCATGTAACAGGGAACAGGCTAGCTGATTCTGTAGGCGAAAAAGAAAAAAAAGGGAATGAAAACAAGAGGTCATCTTCACTTGATTTTAAGTTATAAAGTAAGATTAGAAAACTAGGTGCAATACCAGTCTCCCTCTCCCTCTTATATACATATCCAACTGAATGACAATTGAAGTTGATATAAAAACGTGAAGAGCCGGAAGATCAAAACCATCGGTCATACTACTGCCTATCCAGAGGTCAGTTGGCTGAAACTCAGAGGTAAAAAGAAGACTCAATTTCAACTCAGCTGTAAAAGGTTCCAGTCGGATGTCATGTGAATGTGTTTCAAGTCATTGATCATTCATCACTATCATCCTACCTAGTCAAACCTCATTTTAAAATAAGCCATGTTGAGCTGAAGAAAATAATTGATCATCCATGAAACCTTATTTTGGTTGATGGTGAGTAGCAGTGTGGTATCCGGGATGTGTATTTCGTCCGACCTAGAACTCGTCATCTGGATGTAAATGCGTTCCTAGTGGGTGATGGTGTCCCCACTGAGAGTCAACCCCCGTACCCATCGTTCCAAACTACAAATCTCCATGAGAACACCACCACTCGCTGAGAATGCAGGTACACCTAACTGACGAGTCCTAAATGTAACGAAGTGAGGATCTTGGATTTTACTGTAAGTCACCACCAACTACAATAAATTCATGTTAATCTTTAGATATCGTCAAGGAATCCACAGAGAGCATCGGACATTTCGACTCAGCATAATGAGTCAAAGGGAAATGCAAAATTAACCTGAAAAGAAATACGTACGAGACCATTTGATAAACTGATTTTAATGCACTGAAATGAAAGACCAGTGACTTTTGTGGGTTCCCATGGAAATCTGATCCAAACAGCACTCGAATTTTGCAGATCAGATCTATTTACTAGAACATTAAACTGGTAATCTAGAGGTAGGCGGTTCCAAGCATGCTGTTCAACACTAATTTTTGTTTTCTATACTTTAGTTTGTAAGGGTTAGTTTTGTTTTTACGAGTTGATCACAGATTGATATCAGTTAGAGAACCATTGAAAACCAGGGAGTACTGGACATAACTAACCCTTAAAAACCAAACCATAGAAAATTAATCTGATGCTCGCTAGTGACTTGCTACAGAATCCAGTTTCCTGGAGTTCTAGTGAGAAGTCGTGACCAGTGAGGGTCAACCAGTCAAGTGTGAGGATGGATGTCCCACCAATGACATTGGTTGGGGTCGCGCTAAATCAGGAATTGGTAGAAGTTAGAATTCATGGGCTGGTTGGCCATTGAATCGGGTCCCAGTGGCTGAATGGTATACGAGCTTGCCTTGTAACCTGAAGGTCCTGGGTTAGAATCCCAGTGGGTGCATACTGCCGATGATTCCCAAACTAGGATGAAACAGCTGTCCAGTACTCCCTGGTTTTCAATGGTTCTCTAACTGATATCAACCCGTGATCAACTAATTTTTGTTTCGAAAGCTCGACCATTACTTAATTATGGAAAATACACATCCAGCCATGAATATAAGAACAACAAAGTTCAGCGAAGAGTCTCTTTTCGGCGAATTCATTCACTCTTTGCTGTACAGTCGCACTTACATATAATTATCCTGTATGTATGTGTGTGTGTACATTAGGATTGTCAAACAAAAATAAAAATTAGTTAGGGTTACTGTTTACGCCATCAAAATGTTTCTAAAATATGATGAATAATCAAAATTGAAATTAGGGGGGGGGGGCGTGAAGATTGGTAAGTATTGACAAGAGTTGAGTAATATGAAATAGGATGGTAATGGAGACATGACTCCGAAAAATAAATTATGTAATAGGTAGAAAGAGTAAATAAAGGGTTGGTTAAGAAGAAGATGTTACTAAGATGCCACACAAAAATTCAAAATACAAAAAAAAGAAAACAAAACATTATTAACAAAGTCGTAGAACTTGGAATTATACCCAAGGTAGAAGGAGGGAATGGAGAAGTTTCTTCTGTGTGCATAAATCAGGGCTTTCTATGCGGATTGCTAAGGTCTCCTCGGCAATGCAAAGTATACGGAAGCTTGCCGTATTCGGGAAGCTACTTTGGACTTTGTAGATGAATTTGAATGAATTCTTCTCGCATACTGAGTGACCAGTGTTGACCATATATTCGATTACAGAAGTTTTTATTGATCCACTGTTACCTTGTCGTAGCCAAGCGGGATAATGTTCTTTGACTCTTTTAGATAAAACACGTATCGAACGACCTACATATCTTGCTCCACATGAGCGATAAACATAGAAGTGGTCAAATGAGATAGTTTATCTTTGGAGTTGTTGAAGAACAGTGGGCGGCTTGAGAATACCAATCGTAATGTAGCAGCAGAAAGGTGTTCTTTTCAGGGCGTTAGATATTCTTTTCCTTAAGATGTCTGTCAAAAGATTGTCTTCGAACGCCACATTCATGTGCAGTATCTTCTTCGGCACAGCGATGGATTGTTCTTTGTTGATTTTCAGCTTTATATCTTTATCTATAAAACGTGGTGGATAGCCGTTCTCAAGTAGTGTCTTCCTCAAAAGAGTGATCTCTTCTTCGACTGATTCGGGGCTACATACTCTCTGGATTCTAGTCGCAAAAGATATTATTTGGTTCCACTTGCGATTGATGCGTACCCAACTGTAAAAGTTGGTCAGCTGGCCATTCCACCTAGGCCTCCGACACGTGCCCCCATTAACATCCTATTTCATATTACGCAACTCTTGTCAATACTTTTTAGTTTAGTTTGACAATCCTAATGTATATATATATATATATATATACAAATATATATTGCTGATTTTTGTCCATAATACCACGTCAATGTTACAATTTAAACAAATCCATTATTTTCTTTTAAATTTCCCCTCACTTCTTGCGTTCCAAGTGTAAAATAAAGCCTTACACATTGAAGTTGCAGTAGCACTTGTGCTGTTTTTACTGAGTGAGATTACCAGCCACACGTCCCTCATTTCCAGATAGCTTATTACCAGCAAGTACACTAAGTGAGGTGTACAAGCACATCGGAGATGGGAATCGAACGCAGACCATTTGTGTGATTGAAGGGCATTCTGCCACTGAATCACTGATGCACAATCCACAATATCACATCCTAATTTATTTTACTGCACTCAGTATAAGCAAAAAGATCTGGATCTTCAACAGTAACGTGAAGCGACTGCTTCTATGGGGTTCAGAGGATTGGCCTGCACATCGACAAAAGCATTTTCAACAGGCTACTGTAGACTTTAATCAACAGCTGCCTTCACTCCATACAGAAGATCAGACAGCTGGCCGGAAACGATAAGCAACAAGGAACTTTGGCAGGCTGCGAACCAATCAGCAACCTATCGCCCAACAAATATGCTGCTGTAGGAAATGGATATCGGTTCGAAACACTCAGAAGAGACCGTTGAATGACATTATGCACCAGGCAGAACCTCAAATGCAACCCAAACGGGAAGCGAGCGACAAGTTGGGCATCTGAGGTTTGGAGGCGATCGTGTGAAGAGGAAATTACAGCTTATGCAGCAGTCCTGGAGCCATCTAAAAAGGACTGCAGAAATGTGCTGTTGAAGCCCTGTGTTCCACTCAGAACTCAAAGGAATAACAATAAATAGTGTATCGATTATTTCAAAGAAGATTATTAAAACCTTTTAACATACAGTGAGGCACACAATCATTTATTAATTATATTATAAATACGGATATCAATGAAGTATTACTAAACAACAGCATGTAGTGAGTGAATATGAACAAAAAGATGCTATAGAGTATCTATTTTACAAACAGTAAAATAGATCTTTGTGTATATCTCTGAAGGTTATTTATTTAACTCAGCGTGAAATTCAATACTATAATAAAGATATAGATAAGTTGAACAGGTGCTTTTATTGATGACAGAGAAAGCAACCATGCACAACAAACGTAACAAAAATATAAATTTAATCATTGTACTTATTTTGTATTTAATTTAGAAAAGCATTAAATTTCAAAGTATATTCAATTCATTCAATGTTAACAGAATTCTCAAATGCTAAGTACTTTTGGATGAAAATATGAGTAGATTTGTACACCCATGACAATGATTACATACACCCCTATGGATTGAACATTCTGATTATATCATAAAATTAGCAATGAAATCTCAAGTTCTATCACACTAAACTAAGCGAATAATAGTTGGAGGATTTCATCATGATCTGACATCGGTTAGAGAACCATTACAAAACCATCTGGGAGTAGTGGACAGCTGTTTCGTCCTGGTTCTGGACTCTTCATCAGCATGCACCCACCACAAGGGTTTAGAACCCAGGACCTTCTGGTTACAAGGCAACCTCGTAGACCAATGGCCCATGAATTACATTTTCTGTCGGATCATGATGAGATACTCCAACCAATCAAACAAAATCCCTACAAAACCAGCAATTGAAGATTGATCGGATGCTCACTAGCGACTGGCCCTATTCAGGCAGTTAACCTGGGGTTCTAGTGGGAAGCTGTGACCAGTGGGGTACAGCAGGTTGAAGGTGAGGACAGTTACTCATCGAAAAAGACACTGTGAAGTGGTCACGCTATGTCATGAATTGGCAGAAGTTAGAATTCATGGGCTGGCTGGCCATTGGATCAGGTCACAGCGGCTTAACGGTCTACGAGCTTGCCTTGTAGCCAAAACGTCCTGGGTTCGAGCCCAGGTGGGTGCGCACTGCTGCAGAGTCCCTGCTGGTTTTCCAATGGTTCTGTAACTGATGTCAACTCATGATGAAATCCTCCAACTAAACGAAATCCCCACAAAACCAATACTTGAACATAAGGCAATATTATATTTTCCCTACCTCCATAATATAGGAAAATTGGGCGCAAAATTAGGCAGGTTCATCATCGAATTTACGAACGAGGGACAAACAAGATCTATTTGTAGTTCTCTTTTAGCACACCTTGTAGATAGTGAGCGTATAGTTGATGTTAATACGGCATTTTAAGTTATTTATCGCATTCCGATTAGTCTTAATTTTGTTTTACGAGTTCGTCTTCTGCATACAAACACCTGAAGCCATAGGAATCAACTTGAAGAAGCCAAACCTGTGAGTGTTCAGAAGAAATTCATACAGCCACTTTCCTTACTTTGGTCATCGTTAAATGAATGTATAAACCGGACTGCTTCGTCCCCCTCCCCCTAAACATTTAAAAATTATGAAAATTTTAATTGTTCAAATTATTTTACTATTTTTCTAACTACTTCATCTTGAATTACATGTTATCATTGCAGTGATCATTTCTACCCTTTAATTGTTTGAATTATCTATCTTGGTTATTATCAAGCCCCATGACATGTTGATATTAATTAATTATTGTTAACAAACATATCACCAGTTGATAGGTAAATTGTATTGTAATAAAAATACTATAGACATCAGAGTAGAGCCAGAGACGAGGATCTAATTGAAAAGTAAATATTTCTTCGCTCAATCCTTTTGCTTTCTAAATGTCTAAATGCGGATTCATTGATGCCTACACATTTTGACTAATTGACTGACTGACTGCGTCAAACTTTACACAAAAGTGCAACACTTTAAGCTGCCACACACTCCTTATATAATACATAAAGATTGAGAGAAAATGCAAAGGAAGTATAGTGAACGGAAACGTACTGGAGAAAGAATCCGCAAATGCAGGAAAATGAGGACATCGTGGATAAAGGAGGTCAAGGGTTCGATTGCCGACCGAAGTGCTCCTAAAAGTCGCTTAGTCGGTAGTAAGCTCAGTAAAGTGGGGTGGTAGCACGTGAGGCTAGCAATTATAACCCGTAAAAAAAATAAATACAAATGCTACTGGAAATTCAAAGCTGAAACTTGGAGCTCTATGTTCTACTGTGAATACGAAGGAATAAAATAAAGAATAATAATAATAAACAGTAAATGAATACATCTGAGTCATTGACAACGGTTTCGATCCATATAAGCACCAGTGGGACACTTCATGGATTGATGATAGGTTCTCATTCGACCATCCGTAACCTTTTTCCAACCTAATACTATATCAGCTAGCCTTATTTATCCTGAAACATAATGGCTTGACATAAGTAACACGTGCCCTGAACACATCTCTCAATCGATGTAGCTTCACGACCTGATCGATTGACTTCCACTCCTTGCCTACTATTCTACGCCTAACTTCAATATTTCTCAATATACTATGCCGTTTAAGACACCTATAGTCAAATACAACGAGCCTTTTCATATCTTCCAAAATATCCAGTATTAAGCAAACAACAACTCAGCGTGATTATTTGAATTGCAGGATATCTTCAATGTTTAACTGTGTTATTAACACTAGATAAACAAAATTAGCTATTACACGTTAATTGAAAAGGTGGAGTGAAATCACGTTTGTTTCTCTAATTCTCCGGTGTCATTACTCGGTCTTAATGATTGGAATAGTAGGTGATAACAGATTTGCAATAACTATGTCTTGATTCACCACACTAAACAGCACGTTATTTGGTGAAACACCTTCATTTCTGCATGCAAACTATTGATATCCTGCAAAAACAACTTTCAAGAGTTGATTTGTAAGGATTAGATTTGTTTTTACGAGTTTGACCACGGATTGATATCAGTTAGAGAACCATTGAAAACCAGGGAGTACTGGACAGCTGTTTCGTCCTAGTTTGAGAATCATCGGCAGTACGCTGGCTGCTAGCTGGATTCAACATAGAACTTGGCACCAAAGTGCAGCAGTTCGAGTTGCCACGTTCCAAATAGCACACAAAGGTAGACAAGAAAATGAGTGAAGAGAATCAATAGAGTTTTGACAAGTATAAGAGTGAAACAGAATGAGTAATGGTAGAAAGGAATATGAAAGATTACAGAGACTGAATACATCTGCGCCACTGACAACGATTTTGAGCCATGTCACCTATTGTCTCCAGTCATTGATTCTTCGGCAGTACGCACCCACCACTAGGGTTCGAACCCAGGACCTTCCGGTTACAGGACAGAGTTTCCTGGAGTTCTAGTGAGAAGTCGTGACCAGTGAGGTCCATTTCAGTCAAGTGTGGGGATGGATTTCCCATCGATGATATTGGTTGGTGGTCGCGCTAAATGCATCACGAATGGGTAGAAGTTAGAATTCATGGGTTGGCCATTAAATGGGATCGCAGTGGCTGAATGGTATACGAGCTCACTGGCTTTGTAACCAGAGTCATGGGTTCGAACATCGGTGGTAGGTACGTATCGCTGATGATTCCCCAACCAGGATGAAAAAGCTGCCCAGTATTCCCAGGTGGCTTTCAATGGTTCTATAACTGATTTTAATCTGTAGTCAAACTTGTAAAAACAACTTCCCCTTTTTCATTTCCTTCTCGAAAATATCGACATTACGTAATCGTTCGAGTGAAAGTTCAATAACATATAACCAGACGAATTAGTTTTTTGATTACACATAGTCTCCATCGACAAATCTGAATAGATATCACACACACACCCACAAAGTATCCGATTGTAAAAAGGTCTAGTCGACTATTGTAAACCAAGTCATTTTGGGATTAGAGTAAATAACTGTTAGCTTTGGGCAATGGAGGAGTGATTCACCAATAACTGGAGTCAGTTGTAGTGATCAATTGGTTTATTATTGACCTTTATTTTTCAAAGTAAATTGTAAATAACATCAAGCGACATTAGGAAGGGAAACACTATCATTGTATGCTTTGAACACAGGCACAAATTATTTACACTCATACAAATCACCCAAAGACTATCCTGTTAAATATATTTTGCACCTATTCCGGAAAAATCAGTTATCGTCCCTATTAGTAGATGATTAGGCGAATTCTTTCCAAGAAGGTTTCGTATTTGGCACAGTTTTCATATTCACTAGTGTTATCGCCTTGTATGACGAAGGTATGACAAGGTATGACAAGTAGCCTATAGTAAAATTCAACTACTAAAGCCGTTAAACTCACTAGTAAAGGGAATAAAATTCCCACTTGAATCGGAAAATGAACAAGAAGAATTAGCTATGTTAGATTGTAAGATAAAACGAACAGAAGAAGGTGAACTGCACACTAGCGTTTATAAAAAGCCAACGCATTCGAATAGATATTTAGACTTTAATTCATCTCATCTATTCGTTATCTATAAAGGCAGGTTTAGTTAAGTGTCTAACAAACCGAGCAGTAGCACTAAGTAGTACAAGAAAAGATCTAAATGACGAAATGAAACAGAGAGAAGAAGCGTTGGTATCAAATAACTATCCTATAAAATTCATTAGGAAGATCAGAAAATGCCAAAAGCAAAATAAAAATAACTGTGAAACTAATAATGATAACATAAATAAGAAAGAATATAAGGCATCTACAATAGTTCTACTACATAAGGAAGGGAAATCTGAGACTCTAAAAAGGATTCTCAATAAGGCAGGAATTAGGGTGGCATTCAAACCTACAAACTCACTCAGAGACAAGCTCTGTAGACTAAAGAACCCTTGTGAACCGAATTAAACAAAATAATATAATTTACAAAATACCTTGCAATGACTATGAGTTAAGTCAACTACATAGGTCAAACTGGTAGATCAAGAGTAGTGAGATTGCATGTCAGAACATAAGAATTTAGCTAAGGTAAGAATGATTGATCCCATGAAGATGCGTAATTTAGAAAAAAAACTCAGCAATAGCGCTGCATGCATTAACACACAACACGGTGGGTGGGACAGATTCAAAATTCTAAAGAGTTATATAGGTAGTTGGAGAGAGAGGTGGTTGATTACTGAATCCTGCTTGGTTTATCGAGTCTACACCCAGCACATGCAACAGAAATGAATCAACGCAAGCACCAGAGATATGGAAGATATTATTGCCAGTCAAACCAGAGGGTAATAAATAATCTTAAAATGTGTTTCAGTTCACATTAAAACATTCTAATAAGTTCCTTATTTCTACTATAGAAACACCTTATTTCCAATCTGATTGTATTTTATTGATAACACTAATAATATTATTTCCGAAAGTACTTTATCTTGTGTGTGTGAGTGCCTTGATATGATTATGAGCAACAATTTGTGCTCGGGAGGTGGTCATCAGCAAACATTACTGTACAACACTGAGTGACTGATCAAAATAAAATCTTTTCAATAATAGGGGTCAATGATCCATCTATATAAATAACATCAGGTATGAAAGATTTTCACAATATTTACGCTCAAGTTACTGTCTTGTTACAATGAATGAAAATATAAGAAAGGTTATCAAAATGCTCCAAACAAACACTTACCTGAGTAATACAGCAAATAATAATAAGGCAAAGGTGACAGCTATTGAGTGATTCTTGAGCTGAACAAAAATAAAACGTAAATTACATGCAGAAACTAAAGCAGCAGTGTATATTTAATATTACATGCAAACTTTAAACTAATAACGTGAGTTAAGTGTAAGAGTTTTGTACTATATTGAAAAACACTATAAACAACCTAAACTGGCTACTAACTCAGCTTCAAAGAAAACCATGTTCGTGAATTTAGAATTCGAAGGTGTTCAGACTTCATTATATGCTCAAAAAAAGTCTTTCTAAATCAGTCAGCAGGATGTTCTTTGCACTTAAACTCCAATCGACCTTCACCAGGCGTGAAATGTACTTCGTCTGTGCAAAAAGACAAGTCCCCTTGTCTGACTGCCTTCATACGCATTTATAGGTTCATTTGTTCTTTTAGAGCAATATACATCAGCCGTAACCAGTGAATGCTTTCCACACGGATACGGGAGCACATTTCAGCATGGTTTTTACAAAGGAGAAAGGAAGACTGTGAAATGCTTTATCCTAGAACGCTTGATTGACTCCTGTCACTCAACCAACCCTAACTTGCCGCGTATTTTTTGTTACAAACTTCTTAAGATATGATAGAGAAGATTTGTAGCTCAGGTGGATGATTTTGATGTGGTTGTGTTCTCTCAGCTGGATAGTTAATTTGCGAAGCCTTCATTGCCCTACTAGGCGACATCTTCAGCGCATACTTCAATTTGAAGTGAGCCTTTAAATTTCTCCACGAGTTTATTAATCATCGCTCCCGATGACCTTGGACGTGATTGGTTGTTTCTGTGTGTTTTCACACCTTCTAGGCTACTTGTATTGGAAATGATTGTTTCTTTGGCTTGAACTTTGACCCTTTGTGTGTGAGGTTTCTTTCTTATCGGTTGATAAATTTTGTCAATCTCTATGTTTCTATTGATTGATGATTCACTGGAATACCGGGCTTCTAAAAATGCTCTGGCTAGCATTCTTGTTGTTTCCTCTGTCTAATATTTGAACATTGTCCCAATCGAATTGATGCGAGTGGTTGTCTGTAGTGGATGTCATGTCTTTTGACGGCTAGCTTATGTTCATGGATACGAAGACGAAGGGGACGTCCACTTTGACCAATGTAGTGTTCTTCGCAGTTGATACAATCTATTTTGTAGATGATGTTGGTTTTATCTTCATTCGCTGTTGAGTCTTTTGGTTGACATAGAATTGAGTGAAGTGACTTTGTTGGTTTGTGTACGATGTCAATTCCTAAAGGTTTGAAGAGTCTTGTAGTGATTTCTGAGATATCCTTTATATATGGTAAGGCAATTTTCTTTGTGCTTTCCTTGGAGGCTTTTGGTTTGATAGGTTGGCTTGGGGGTATATGTCTTTTGATGAAATTCCGTGGATACCCATTCTTTTGGAAGACGTCCATGAGATATCCTTCTTCAATTTTCCATGAGGTGGGAGTGCTGCAATGAGTCCTGGCCCTCTTGAATAGTGTTTGTATGCAATTCCTCTTGTGTGCTATTGGATTGTTGCTGTTGTAATTGAGGATTTGGTCTGTGTGAGTTGATTTTCTATAGACTTGAGTTTCTAATTCTCCTGACACATACAAAGGGTCAAAGTTCAAGTCAAAAAAATAATGAGTTCCAATACAAGTAACCTAGAAGGTGTGAAAACACACAGAAACAACCAATCAGGTCCAAGGTCATCGGGAGAGATGATTAATAAACTCGTGGAGAGAAATCTAAAAGCTCACTTCAAATTGAAGTATGCGCTGAAGATGTCGCCTAGTAGGGCAATGAAGGCTTCGCAAATTAACTATCCAGCTGAGAGAACACAACCACATCAAAAACTTCTTAAGACAACAGAAGTGTTAATAGTGTTGAACATTGAATCGTCTGTTTATTCGAAATGGTCTTCATTTGGCAGGAGACAAGTAAGCTATCGTTGCGTAATCGTATATTCGTTTGGCAGAAGACAGGAGAAATACAATCAAAAGTATAATTGTACATTCTATTAACGTTTATTTACAGACTTTGCCGACAGCACAACCTATACTTTTGTCTCATTATCGATGGAAGAATAAACAATTGTATTGAATTTCGGTTTCCTTTTATTCTCCGTTAGCTACTGTGCATAGTATTAGCCATATTAGGCAGTCTTCTGAAACCATCGATAGGTTCAGAATAATTGTGGTCTGGATATTTGATAAGACAACTTAACCATTCATGAATTTAAGCCAGACCTTTGTGTACAAAAGAAGTATGCACAATCACTATTTCTACCTTGACCGTAGAGGGATAAACATTCATTTATTTATTTATAACTAATTCACTATTATCACTCGCAAATGTTCCTTTTGTACATTTTCTTACCCTCTTCACACTTCTTAAATGGACGCTCAACTATATTTCTCACTCAACAGCTAATTTAACCTTTAACAAATTTCTAACCATTTCTTCCTTTGTGCCGTTGAGTACTACGTAATTTACAACTTCTATTTTTAATTCTAAAGCAACTTCTGAGTAATCATATCAATTGTCACTCCCTGTTACTCAATAATAAACTAATATACATTTTCGGTAAGTATAGATACAACTGTACAGCCTCTGAAGATGATTTCGTCGATAAAGAAAAAATGTTTCGCTGAATTTCTGATATTTTTGGCCATGTTAAGATCTATTTTATCAAACTTTTCATTATGTTGAGTAGAGAATTATTTATATCAGTTAGAAAAAGAGTATCTTCGCTGGAAAATTTTTTTAATTTTAACTTTATTCCTTTGCTTTCCAAGTGGAACATAGAGCTTCAAGCTGGAGCTGTGAAGTGTCAGCAGCAGTGGGGTTGCTAGCCTCATATCCAACCTTCCCTTTCTACCAGGTTTACTACTGGCTAAGCAAGGTAAAGGAGTGCGTTGGCCGCGAATCGAACCCTTGATCCCTTGCTTGATTGGTCAGTGTCCTACCACTGAACCACTGACGCTGAATATTGTATCCTGCGTCGGTAGCACAATGGTTAGGACTCTCGCCGACCATGCAGATGATCCGGGGTTCGATCCCCTGCCGACGCACACCTGATATCTATGGTCGGCCTGCAAAAATTTGCGCTACCGATATCACAAGCTGAAAATTCCATACTTGTACCAAAAAAATACGGTGTGGAATCAAGCTGTAATCCAAAAAAAGCTATACATTTAACGCTTATGATACATAGGCAAAGACGATTGGCTTCACTGACGTATTCCACCACAAAGGTATAAGCAGTCGGTAGACAACTTTTGAAAACCGATTAGTATTTCTTTTCATTGGCATAAAGCAAACTCATTACTCATACAATATTCATATACTTACTTTTAGCATCTTGCATAACAACAGAACAATATTCTAATAAATCTGCCAGTAAATTTCTTGGTTCTATTGAAGGTGCATACAAAGAATCCATGTCTAAATTGAAACCATTCAATTGTCCATTAGCAAAAGATGAAGTTGTATGCCGTCGACATTTACCATGACTATTATTATTATGATTATTATTAGAACTTTTAGTTGAATTATTTGGTGAGGATAAACTCTGAGGACTTGATGATCTAGTACTACTATTATAAGTCATAGTAGTAGTAGTAGCAGCAGAAGTGGCAGCCGTCGTCGTAGTAAGTACTGGCACAGCTCTACCGGGTGATACAAAATGTGTTGTATCCAGATAGCCGACCATAGATTCTGTACTAACAGCTTTTAAAATTCGATAATCTAAAGTGATAAAAGAA